AAATGTGAGTTTGAGAAAAGCAATAAAATATTCTCAAGAAACCCTTAAAAAAAATGGCAAAGTGTAAATAGCTTGCCAACAGATTTTCCATTCTCACTCTGCTATAACAAATGGATTAATTGTTAGGTAATTTAATCAGATGGCTTGCTGATAAAATTTGAGCAAAGACTTGATGCGTGTCCAGAACTTGACGAATTGCTATGAGTTTTTCAGTTATGAGAAGTCTGTCCAGATGGCCCTAGAATGAAGGATAGTGTTCAAACCATTGTTCCCAGAGAACTGGCCAGCTGTATCTAACATGGAAATGCTTCTGTGAATTTTTAAAAAAACATTAAGTATAATGGAGAATACTGGAGAGAGCATTTAAATGCAATGCAGTCACAATTTTGAGCAATTGGCTCAGTTGGCAGGAGTCTTCTGAAATTTTAACAAGCGCAACTACGGACACATCTATCTCATACAAACTATATCCAGAACTAAGATGGAAACTCTTTGGAAATTGCCCTTCAGTTCATTCTTTCCAGCTAACACCTTTCTTGGCATTATTCAGAAATTTGGCACCTGCAACAATAGACCTTTCTAAAGTCCAACACTTATTATTCTCCTGAGAAACATTTGAGAGCACATTAAATCTGTTTACACATAGATAAATATAGTCAGGGCTCAAGAGTTGGGAGCTGAAACCCAAACACCTACATTTGTAGCGGGAAGACATTTTTGGATGAGCATTTTGTAAGACACAGGAGCTGGAAAAATGAATCAAGTCTCACACATTAGAAGCTTTGTTACTTTTTATATCCCTATGAAGCTTTAATGTTTCACATTAGCATCTTTCTGGAGCTCACCCATACCCTTCATCACAGAACTTTGTACCATCTGACAAAGCTGTATTCAGTCCAAGATCATGGTCTTTCACATCTGCCAAGGGCTGAAAGCATCAGTGAGAGAGAAAGCTGAATCCTTGAAACTTCTCATCACAGCAAAGAATCAAATATAACAGGGCCCCAAGGAAGACCCATTAAGTCTTCATCACAGATCCATCAAAAAAGTGATCATAATCTAGAGTTTACAGGCTGGAATGGTACCAAAGGACAAGCAAATAAAGCAATACTGAGGATTTCCATCAAGACAGACAGAATTGTCAGGCAGGGAAGAAATAATTTCTTTTTAGTGGATGTAGCTATATTTAAAGGAAGAAAAAAATAATAATCTTAAGACATGCTAATGTGATCACATGTAATATCAAAATATGTTCCCGCTGTTAATTCTAACAATACAGGACTCATTCTATCATAAATAAATGCTATATGAAAGTTTTCTTTGGTTTAAGTGTTCATAGAGTGTTTGAATTTCTTTCCCTCTTGCAGTCTTCAAAGATAGATCAGATCACTTGCATTTGATTTTAAAATATTTGTTGAATTTTATTTGTAGAAATAAATTGAAGACAGACAAGAGGATATCAAGAGCTGCTTATAGGAGAAATTAAAAAAAGAAAAGAGGTGTAAAACCTAACAAAAGCCACATTAATCTACAAATATGGCCCCCATTAATCTATTCTAGTACCAGTCTTGCCTGTTATTACAAATATGTATATTACTGGCTTCATTTGTTCACACGCATAGAACACAAAAGCATCATAAAAAAAAATTACAGTACAAGTAATTTAGATTAAATCAGATGTAGCAAAGTCAGTTTTGCTTATGCATTCTTTCACTCACATTGCTTCATGGAACAGTTTTGTTAAACACAATGTCAGTTGATGGGGTTTTTACTGTGAGATGGTGCCAGAGACAAATACACTAGACAGTGCTAATTGCAGGAAAACACTGAAAAATAGAACTGACTAGTGACTGTATCAATAGAGATGGTTGCTAAGGATAGCATTCTTCTGATGACATGAGTTACCTAATAGTAGATTTAGAAATCCTTATGGACTCTCGATTTCGAAGGAATGATGTTTTCCTCTGTATGGCAGCAAGAACGATAGGGCTATTAAATCATAGAGAGGAAAGGAAAATGGGAAGGAAGGAGTAACTCAATACTTTTTCAAGTCCTGGAAGTTTTTCACAATGCTCATAGGTAGAGCAGAAAGGAAGAAAATGAAAATATTAAAATAATTTAAAGCTTAATTATTTCAATGGTTTTCTTGGAGTAGTAAGTAAAAGAATTCTGCTTCTCTCCTCCTTTCGCATCTCATGTAGATACAGAAGTCATCCAGAAAGAGTACGGCAGGTTATCTGGAAATCGTCTTCAATATAGTTTGGAACATGAATTACACAGAGGTACTGGCTTTCTTAATCTACTAAGAGTTACTTCAATTATTGGTTGTGTGAACCTGGATCTTACGCTAGAGTACTGTATTGGCAAGTATTGGAAGTCTGGAAACTCAAGTAAACAACAAAATAGAAGGAGTAACAGGAACAGTGTTTGGATGCTCCCCAGTACTTGGCAAATTTTTCCAAAGAAAGCATAGAAATGTCTTTACTGTGTGCTTAATTATTAATTAAAAAAAAAAATCCACCAGCCAATCAAGCACCCTTATCAATCAGCTGTGTGTACATCAAGTTTTAAGACTGTGCTCTCTACCATGGCTTTTGCTCCCAGAAACAAGAAAATAAATTATCCAGACAGAGCAAATTCAGACAACTGCATGATTTTAATTAAATCCATTAAATCTTTTTATAAAGCTAGTGCATTATTTTTTCCTAATAAAAGGTTCTAAAGTTTTAGAAAAAATCATTAGATTCCTAAACAATATGTGAAAATTTGGAGACCAAATCAATAAGTTAAGAGTTAAAGGGATTTTGGTCCTGCCTTAAATGAAAAAGTTTAGCTTCAGCTACACAGTTTCTATGGAAAGCCCCAGCAATATTGATATCCAGTGTACATATTATCCCACGTGAATGTCACTGACCTACGTTAAAGAACTGTCATGGCAATACAAGGAACACAAAACTGCTGATAGTATGAAATATTCTTAACAGAGAGAAGGTGCGTTTTTGTTTTTTTTTAATTTTTATTTTACAATGATTTTAAACAAATAATTGCTATGAATATATGAATATGACTGCCAAACTTCTTAGCATGACCTTGCTTTGGAGAATTTAAGAGAGATGCTCATACAGCCTTGATGCTTGAATGGCTGATCTATGAATGTCTTGATACCTTCAGAATTAATTGGAAGATACTTCCAGCATGTCATATAGCTTATTCTTCTGCACTGATTTGCTTACTGTGAACTGAAACAGGTGTATGTACAGAGACAGTGAAGCAAATTGAGAAATAACTGTCCTATTTTTGAGTATAGTGCATACTTATGAGTATGTTTAAAATGTCTTTCGTCCTAAGAAGGCAGATGAAAAGATGCTGCTAAAGGAAACATCAGGAAAGGCAAAACACTGACAAAGTCACTGGGAAGATAAACACGACGGTGGCCTTTTTGGAATGTCTGATTTTATCCTCTCAAGGCTCAAGCTAAGAAGACAGTGCATACTCACTCCAGAGAATCTGAAACATAAAAAGTGGAGACGCACATTTATCCCAGCTAACTTTATGCACTCAAGTGAGGTGCCTAAGAAATACCATTTTTCCTTATTAGGGGACAACATGTACATCTTCAAAAAGCAGTTTCAGCTGTCCAGCATCTGCATTGTCCTCTACAGATATCTATGTCTTACTGTGAAAGTGTCTGAAACCAGGACAGAAAGGAGCAAAGGGTGTGTGCACTCCAGCTAAAGCACTCCAGCGAGTGGGAAAACAGGCCACTCTGTGCTATGAAACTTGGGAATAAGAGAAAAGATGGCAAAGACAAAAAGCTAGATACAAAAGAACCAGAAACTGTTAAAGAGCGATTGACTTCTCACGCATCCAGAAACTGAAACAACTACTCTCTGAAACGTACACAAACATGAAAAGAAGGCTATGATCACACAGAGCAATCCAAAATATACCTGCAGATTTCAGTTTATTTTTTTTACCATCCAATTTGTAAGGTTATTAGCTGAAAGTTTGTCTTGATAAAAAAAAAAATAACCAACCAAACCCTTGGAAGGAGAGAGCTTATTAAAATAAATGTGACTCAGGCTTGTCATCCCAATGCAGCTGCAAAACAAGTGCCTAAAGTTCTACCCAAGGGGGAGGACAGAAAGCCAAAAGTGCCCTCAAGGGATAAGAAGTTGTCTGAGTCGCAGATAACTTCTGTCCTATAACCGTGGCAGACAGCAATTCCTAAACATTTTTGTAGAGCTCGCTTACATTTCCTGTACTTAAAGAGTGCTAAATGCTGAGCTAGTACAAAGCAGTGTAGCGCCACTGCTTGTAAATGAGCTGTATAATTTTGCACAACTGACTGTCTGGGTGTCATAAAATTCTGCTTGTTACTGAATGTGTTATAGCTATAAATTGCAGCAACTTTTCCCTCAGTTTCTGGTCTTGTTTCCCTTATGGTGGTTTGAGCCCATCCTCTAAATAAACACCCTCATTAACAGATATTAGATTAATTCATTAACAGAGTTCAAGCAGAAGAGAGGTTCATGCACACCAGGAAAGGATGCAGAAAACATAGCATAAATATCTGCAATTGCCAGTGAAATCGACAGAAAACAGAGATGGTTCAAAGTACCTTGTCTTACTGGCTTCTGACCTGTTAAAAGCACTTCTTCCTGTTAAAAGAAATCCTCTCAAGGAACCAAAGTGTATTTCATCTCAACATGTTGAATTCTCACAACATACTTCTCAGGTTGAGTGCAGAAGTGCCTCATTTTAGATACAGATCTGTCTTTTTCAATTACCGGTGCAGACTATAAAGAATTTTAGCAACACCATATGTCAATTTAGCTTGCTAAGATATCTTAATTGGCTCTTTTTTAACTTCAGTTTATGGCAGGAAAAGAAATATGTGCTTAGTAGTCATAAGTATTTATGCCTTGGCACTATTAAAGTGTCTAGCCTGCTCTTAAACTGAATGTAGCTGCAGAAGGTTTGATGTTGACACATAATACCTGTTTTTAATGTGCTGGGGAGAACCAAGGCACTTGAAACTTCCATTGACCATAATAGCAAGACGTGTGCAGAGGGCTTCACATTCTTCCATACTACAAAATAAAGTAAAAAAAACAAATTAGAAAATTACAATAGTGAAAACAAACAATGTTATTTATACCTAGCTTTGATTAAAGTGGAAGGAATCTGTACAGCTGCAAAAACGAGAACATGAAACCTTTGATTTTAAAAACAACAGTCCAAATCATAGTCTTTTTTCAGTACATACCAAAAGTTGTTACCACATGGCAGCTAGAAGAGAGTCCTGAAATGAAATTTATGGTTTTAGTCTAGAACAAATTGGAGATTCTGGCCACAATAAAGGGTTTTACTACCACAGGCAAATACGTGATAAGCAGTCTCAGAAACACAACTGAGTGTGAGAGCCATGAACTCTATTATTCCCTGTAATATCTGTTTGTGGTTATTCTGAGCTAAAGGATAGAGGGAGAAGAATGAAGTAAGCTCGCTTAGCTTGCCACTTGCATAGCACATACCTGTAAAAAGTAGTTACCCTTAGTAATCGCAGAAGAGATGCAAAACACTACAATCCAAACAGAATTTATATAAATACAGCTGAATAGAAAAGCAGGATCCTGTTAGATGCAACTGCTGCAGATGATAAATAATAACTTTGACTTATAAAGCTTAGGGCAGGTGGGCTGCCATTCTACATACTGTGAAATACGAGCTCACTCCTCTAATAGATATAGCAGGGTTTTACTGAGGGACAAAGTCAATAAAGCAAAAGCAACAGTGCTGGGTGCATGACCGTAGCCAGAGGCACGCTGATTAGTATTTGTTACAGGTTTATATACTTTCACTATTGCATTAGCCACATCCGTAGTCATAATTTCTCTGTATAGGTGGGGAATGTTATAACTAGCTCCAGGAACTTATTATCATAAGTCTCCTCCTCTTGGTGTCATGGGCAGGGGTCTTGAGGATGAAATAAGCAGTCTTCCTCTTGTGAGTAGGGGTCTTCAAGATGAAGTAAGCAGTCTTCCTCATGGTGTACTTTTCACCTTTGACACAGTTTGATGCCCCAGTAATCACAAAACTAGCTAAAACCGGCCATATCTGTAATTCCTCTGATAGCTAGCAAAGATTTAAAATGGTGTGACCTTCCTGCAAAATTTATTGCAAGCAAAACAGGACAGGCAGACAAAGAGGATCTGAAGCTAGCAGATGTTTGGGAGTCACTGTCTCTAAACTAACTGATAAGTAGAAGGATGGTGTGAAATAACTCATTCATGTTCAGTGGAGCCACTAAATCCTGTCATCTCACCACAAACGTACAACACAAACATTGTTCTTTCTTCAGCCTAAGTTAAGCTAGAAAGTATTTAACCTTATGTTTTCCAGGCACCAGTTTTTCTTAGATCAAGCCCCCCACCCCCACCCCTCTTTTCTTTTACCTTTACAAATTCTTTTGTTATATGACTCCGTTTTGCTCAAGAGTTCTGGCCATTTTCAACTTGTAGTCTAATCTTGTGTCTTTAGCAAGCTTTGTTTCTGTTATTGTGAACTCATACAGTTATATCCACATAGCAACACCTATGATTTGCGAAAGCCAATACATTTATGTGTTTATCACGATACTATATGGAATAAGCAATTCTTTGTAACCACCTCTTTAGACACAGGACATCAGTCAGGATATATCTATCATCTCAAAGAGGAGTCAAAGTTGTTTGTTATTCCTGCAATTCCCTGCGTGTACTTCCCAGCCCCTCTGAGACAGCTGAACAGGAGTTGTCTTGTGCATCTCAGCCATGTGCCAGTAGAAATTCAAGTGTTCCTGCTGAACAAGCATGGCAATTAAGTACCCTCCTACGAACAACTTACTTAAAAAAGGACAGGGATATGGTGAGAATGGCCAAACCATGATATTTGAGAGAGATGGGGAGACCGCTTGCTAACACAGCTTCCCACAGATCAGGAAGTTAGCCAAGTCTCTCTGGGATGCAGTAACTCCTGATTCTCCCTTTGGCATAACACTCCCCAGCTGTACCAAAATAACACTAATTTAGGCTGGTATTGTCAGTTAATAAGACCTCACTTCTGCCTCCTTCACACAACCCTGCCCCCTTCCAAACAAAAGTGAAGCCTTTTCTCAGAAAATTAGGTAAATACACCCCAAAACCTAAAACCTGTTTTATTTACACAGGAAACCCTCTCCATATCTTATGCATGAATATTCACTTATTCCTTTACTTATACAAGTAGCTTTTGAAAGGATCTCAAGTCTCAAATGACCTTCAGCAAGAATATAAATAGTATAAAATAATTTCTCCTTCCTCCAACCTGGCACAACAATGTCTCATTAATTAAAAATGAAATGTGTACACTATCACTGTACTTATAACTGCTGCAAGTCACTCATCTGTGGAGCTAAATGAGTAATTAAGAACAATTTTATGGATTTTGTTTGTTTACAGCATATTAGTAATGAGATCACAGCCCTTTTCTGTTTAACATGTCTCTGACAACTAAGGGTTCTTGATCGGGACTGAACACCATTTCCTGAACATCACTTAATTCACAGTATGTAACTTGTGCTCCCTAAACGCTTACTAGCTCACTCAATCGGCCAAAACATTATATTGCTGGTTTTACTAATGAGATCGTTCCTCTCCGGGCATGTTTTCATCATCTCTTTCTCATTTAAAACCATTTTATATATAATTATACGTACGATACTATATTCCCCAAGGGAACGTTTAATTTATTCCATTTTACTATAGATGTTAGGAAACAGAATTGATGTTTGCTCTATTAAACTGATATACCAATGACCATACCAGAGAATTGACAAGATATTTAACTCAGATAGTCTCTTCTAAAGAGGATTGGCTCACTCCTACCATTTCTGCTACTGCATACAGCAAACAGACGAGGCATGTGCCTATAGGATGCCATGGCATACTCTTTTCATACACTGATGCATAACAGAATCCTTAATAAAATTAAATGAGGGGTTTTGACTCCCACCTCCATTTGTAAAGATTGTTAGAGTGGGCAGCTGCAAGAGTATAACTTGGTGTTCAATTACGAAGAGACATCACAACATGGAATAGAAAGAACACAGAAAAGGAAGAATTCATTGCATCATTTTTTCTGTGCCCACAGCTTCCTTGAGCCACATTCAAATCATTGAAAATTAAATATAGAAAATATTTAGTATTTATACATATTCAACTTTCACAAGCCAAAGAAATTGACTTAAAATACCAAGATGTATCTGCTCACCCCCGTATTTCACACCAGCATGAGTATGCCTTCAGAACTTCTACTCCCAGTTGAGTGCAAGTGAAGAGAGTACAGGAATACACTGGCTGCTAAGATAAGGTTCTTACCTGTGGGATGTCAGTACAGCTGCACAGCCGTCCTGAACTTCCTTCAGGATGGTTTTCCAAAGGTAGCGTTTAGAGCAGGGATCCATCCCAGAGCTGGGTTCATCCTACAGGAAAAATTTAAATACCAATACAGCAGGATGGGAAAAAGCACAGTTCCAGCCCAGCATGAAGTATTAACAAAGCTCACAATAACATTATATATTTTTCTATTAAAAAGCTACATTTTCAGGATGTCACTTACAACACACTTGATCAGCTTTTTTTTAACACATACAGTTTAATTTCTAAATTTATAGAAGGCACATTTTATTAAGGATATTTATATAATATGTTTATAGATTATGTTATAATATTATTTAGACATATATATATATGTTTAATCATACATATAGGTTTTTAATAAGAAACTTGCAGGTTGTTTTTCTCACTTTCTAGGGGGATTCGGTGTCTTTTTCTCCCCTGCATGCACACCTGCCACAAGCACAAGCAAGTGGAGAGGTAACTCTCAGCTGCTTGTGTTATCCACCCCATAGCAAGATGTGGATACTATGTTTGGAACTGACATCCTTTAGCAGTTACTCCCAGAGTTCCTTTGAGGGGACCTCACTGACAGTGGGGAGAATCTACAGGATTAAATAACAACCCAGTCAGTGCTGCCCAATGCAAACCACCTGGAAACCAGTTTCCCACTCAGATGGGATAGGGACACAAGGTTGATAAGGGGGCTGGAGCACCTTCCATATGAGGACAGATTGAGAAAGTTGGGGCTGTTCAGCCTGGAGAAGAGAAGGCTGCGTGGAGACCTCCTAGCAGCCTTCCAATAGCTGAAGGGGGCCTATAAGGATGCTAGGAAGGGGCTCTTCATTAGGGACTGTAGTGATAGAACAAAAGGGGGAATAGGTTAAAACTTAAACAGGGAAAGTTTAGATTGGATATAAGGAAGAAGTTTTTTACTGTAAGACACTGGAACAGGCTGCCCAAAGTAGTGGTGAATGCCCCCTCCCTGGCAGTGTTCAAGGCCAGGTTGGACAGAGCCTTGAGTGACATGGTCTAGGGTGAGGGGGTTTAGAACTAAATGATTTTAAAGTCCTTTCCAACTCAAACCATTCTATGGTTCTATGATTTTCATGAAGAAAGATGCGCAGCTACCAAAATTACCTTTCCCTTTCCTATTTAAACCTGCTGTCCTCCCTAAATCAACTTTTGACTACATCTGTTCTTGGAAGCAGAAGGAATGCTACCCAATTGTCAAAAGCCAGTCTCTGTTACTGCAAAACCAGGGAGAAGGAAACTCTCCCAGTTGCTTTTTACACTATGGAATTTTATGAGGGGTGTCAGCACCTATTGGGGTGGTATAGCCTTTGACCAATGTATTTGCAGCAAGGAATCACAGCTGAAACCTGAAAGCAAAGTTCCCAAGAAACAAAGCAAATGAAACATTCAGTTTGAGGCTGCTTTTGGTGCTTAGTTACCAATGGCAGAGGTGAAAAAGAATTCAGTTCAGTTTCCTATTATTTGTGGATAGCTAACAAAAAGCAATAAAATAAAGCAACCCACACTGTTCCCTAAATTAATAGCTATGATCCTGGATTCAATCTAGAAGCAGATTCAGTGGTTTATATTGGTGTCTGCTTTCAGACAAATAAAAAAAAAAAGAAAGACTTTTAAAATACTGAATAACTACTTCAAATTCTGCTAGCTTCTAAAGCCAGCCAAATGTTTTAAAGTATTTGACACATTTAGATATTTTTCTTTCCTTTTGTCATTACATATGCAATAGTGTGTGCCCTGTAGCAAGAAGTAAGTTGAAATGGATACTTGCTGTCATAAAGATATTAAAAAAGAGTTGAAGCATTTTCTAAGATCAGGGAATAACACTGACTTAGGATTTTCTCCTCCTTTTACTAACTGAACCAGGGTCAGTTTGAGCACAAAATATAAATAAAATAGTTCAGCTCAGAAGCGAGGCAATGGTAGGAAGTTAGTAGCAGCAAAATGTGTCTGATCTTCTGAAACATGAACACCATAAGAATACCAGTTTTATCTGGTTCTACTTGGCCTGAGGTCTATTACTGGGAGCACCGGTTTCCCCTCCAGCTCTGGGAAGCAAGATTCCCTCCCTCTGACAGTTCTGAAAGGTTTGTTCCACTATTGAATGGGTTTATCTTTTCTCAGCCAAGGATTAAGAAATGGGTATTCAATATTCTGTAGTGAAACAATAGGCAATGACAATAAAGAGAATGTGGTGTCATAATGATGCAGTTCCCAAAGCTTTGTAATTCCCTGATCTTCATTACAAAAGGCATTGTTTAAACTGGAAAGGCCAGTTTCAGGCCTAAATGGGGAGTTGGATGCAAGCACCAAAACGTGATAACTAATTCAAATTAGTATCATTGTATGGTTTGTGAATCCAACAGAAATGTAAGAACCATGAATCATGAAGCATAACATAGCAAGGAATATGAATATCCTGAGAAACATGGGTCAGTCATTAATAACACTAGCTCCAAGTTACTAGCTAAAATAAGAATCTTCCTTCTTAAGGAAGCCAACAGAATTGTTCATATATATTTTTCTCATGTAATATACAAATCAGAGAATACATAAAGCATTAATATATTTATATTTAATTTTTTTCTTCTCCTTCTACATAAGGAAATCTTAAACAAAAATTACATCTCCATTTGGGTCATGGGCCTTTTTTTATTTTCCCTGCTAACCCAACTATCTTAAGGAAAAGAATAAATAAAAGGAAAGCCAACTTCACATTTAAGTTTTGTGAGCACTGGAGGATAAGAAGTTTTCATGCAGCAGGACAGTTGTACATCAATGTATCAATTACTTCTTGACTGACCAGAAAACTACCCAATTTTCTTCAGAGCAACATACAATACAACAAAATTGAACCATTCACCATAGGCACAGTACTACCTTTACTCACCAGTAAAAGTATTTGGGGTTTACCAACTAAAGCCAGAGCAGTAGAGAGCTTCCTCTTTGTGCCAGCACTGTACGTTCTCACCAGTTGGTCAGCATGGGCATTAAGGTGTAACCTGTTGACAAGGTCCTCTGCAACCTGTGTTTTAGAAATTTAAAGGCCAGTAAATATGAGCCAAATTAGCTAGCATTTGTGCTTAGATAGAAAGAACATTCTGTTCATGCATATTAAGCAAATGTACGTGTTGCTCATTTATTTACCCCTATTTGCTGCATATTACTACTTTTGAATCCCAGACACATAGATAAAGCTGCTACAGGACCCCTTAGTTCTCCACGAAGAATAAGGATTTTCTTATATAGAAAAGTTTGGTTTATCATTGCTTGTAACATTCATTTGTGTTCATTTTGTGTTGATGGGTCAATGATCTAAAATGTTCCTCATTTCACCTCATTCTCTGGTATTTATTTGAACAAGCATCTTAGTGACTGAAAATTCAAGAGACAAAATTCTATATGAGCCACAAAAAAAAAAAAGGAAAAGCCAGGAAAACAATTCACAGGTTGAGGATTTAGAGTTTCTTAAAGACAAAAAGGTAACTTAGGGTTAAATTAATACTCTTCTCTAATAACTGAGAAGGTTAAATTGACCCTAGCTGGTTTGGTTGCAAGCTTAAATATGTATGTGCAACCTGAGTAACTTGTACCAGCACATCAGCACAGCTGAAGACAACAGTCATGCTGTCCTCTATGGTCTTTATTCCTTACCTGTCAGAGACAGTCCTAACGTACAAGGTCCCTTCAGATACTGGTGAATTTTAAAAGAGCAAGAGCCTTGTTCCACCTCTATCAGCTGTCACTGTCTGACCATCCAGGGAGACCTCATGCAAAACCACAAGGGACATAGCACTGACTTTTCTACTCGCCACTGCCAGATACACGCTGCAAAGCAGCGGGTGTTTAGTGGCATGCTGCTGGGCGACTGTGTCATCAAGGGATGATCAAATTTGTAATAGAGCCATTATACCTTGAATCTGTATGTACCACAGCTGGGAGATTCTTGTAAAACAAGTAGTTGTGTGGTGCTCTACTGCCTGAGATAAACTGCCAGAGCATCTCCAACAGTACGGTGCATTTTATTCCCTCTGCACTACCTTCAGCTCAAAGCAAGGAAGGACTGGAAGGATTAGTCAGATCAGACAGTCTCCAATTAATTCAGAAGATCCAATAAAAAAGAAAATCAAAAAACAATATTGTGAATTAATATTCACTATCCATTTCAAATAAACTGCTATAAGCAAAATATTTTTAATAAGATAGTTTTATCTCTCTTATTAAAATCCTTAGGAAATGGTCAAGATATTTGTGACCCTTTTACAAGATTTTTCAGTGCTACATGTAAAAATAAGAGACACCTCTGAGAGCAGGTTCTCTATAGGCAAGTACAATGCCGCAGTGGTAAGAATATGCAGTATTCTAGTGTGAATTCTAGCACTGATATTAATAGTCACTTGTGTTCAGTGTATCTTAATGTATAACCTGACAGCAATGCATGTTCTCAGACAAAAGGTACATTTTATAAATATTGCTCTGAATACATTCAATCCAGGGAGATTTGTTTTTTTTTTTTAATTTTAATCAACAACCATTAAATCACAAGCGGGCAATTTTACATTAAAAGTTCAAGTTTTTTCTCTTTCAGAGTTAATTCACAGTGGTTTACTTTCATTTAGACACTACTGATGTATACCAGTAAAAGTGCTGCAGATTCAAATATTCTGTGGCTTTAGAAATGGTCAAGCGTCTAAGCTTTATTCTAAGAAGATGTAACATTCAAATCAAAACAGCCTGCAAAGTGAACAACTCCAAAGCATATGGTAGGCAGCTTATCTACTCTACTAAACTAACTTGCCTTTACTGCCACTGGGAATGCATGCATGTTAGGGACAACAGGATTACCCTCCTACAAATCCACTAACAATATACAGAGAATTGTACAGAAAAGCTTGTAAAAAATTAAGACCAAAAAGTGAAAAAATGTGTCATCTATTGTTTACACCAAATTTAACACATATTGCAAACTATAACAGGCTTGAAGAGTTATTAAACAATATGGAAAGAAGGACTACATATCACATCTGAAATGGTGATATGTAGTACAAACTATAGAGCTCATTCCTCTTTCAAGAGATTACTTCTAACCTTCTTCTCTTTTCTTTAATGTCTTTAATATAGGTTTCCAGTAATAATAGACTCACCTTCATTAATCCAACCTAAACAACAACAAAACAATTATCAGAATGAAATTACAAATATTATATATTAGGTATACTGTAGAGGAGCCTGCACATCTCCATTATAACTTCATTTATCTGTATAACCAGTGGTATCTTGTGGTTTGTGTTATAGAACACTATAAAGTAAAAATGAAATCCCTCTTAAACTACTTTAAATAAGATTCAGGATTGAGCTTGTGATAAATCTTCAAACAGATACACATTTATGCAAGATATTTACAATTCTAATGGTTTCCTTCCTTTAGTGAATGTGAGGTATATACACAAGCACCTTCTTTTCCTCCTTGTCATATTCATCATGCAGTTCTATGTCTGGTTTCAATTACTTTCAGCAGTGAAGACTGAGGAGATACATTAATTTATTTAGCAAGTTGGTTACACTGAGGCCAAATGAAAAGACACAGTTATAAGCGCTTGAACCTTAAAGATGTTTTACATCTAGTCATTGCTGTAATAATTTATTTAAACTCTTTCCTTTCTCCTCTCTGCCCCCCCACACTCCCCCAATCCAGATTATAACAGACTTTATATCTACCAGAAAAGAATTTTCCTATTTTCCAGTATTCCTTCAAATTATTTACTTATCTCTCATCAATTCTAACATCTTCAGCAAAAGTTCTTTTTCCCAAAATTAATCTGGACTTGCTCCCCTAGCTTTGGAATGGGCATCGGAATGAGCCTTTCAATCTGCAAAATCTAACCCAAATCCTCGAAGACTTTGCGCATTTCCTAAAGACTGCATTCATTCTAGAAGAGGCAATAAGGTATTTTTACACACATGTTAATATTTGTAGGAGAAAAGGTTAAAATAGGCATGGTGTCCTTTATCCATGAGGGAACCAAGTCACATCCCTCACACTGAAAAGAAGCAAGTGATGGTAATTTTGTATCCACTAATGCTGATGATTTTCTACTCTCTTTGAAAATTACCATTACCAAGAATTTAAATGGTACAGAGAATTTTCAGGGTGTCTTCCAGAAGAACTTGGAATTAGTGAAGACTCAGTCTACTAGAAGACTAGAAATGCAGTAGCAGGTCTACCCTGACTTGAAAGGCCGCATGTATCAGTGTATTAATATTGTATAATTTCAGACAAAATACAGTGTATGGCATCTTGTGATTTTTATTTCAAATCAAGCCAAACCAAATCACAAAGCAAACCTGACCTAATACTGAAAATGTGTATCATAGCTAGTACAAATAATAATGGACATCAGATGAATTCTAAAATCATCTGAAAAATAACTATACACGTCCAAAATAATTGTGCAAAGTGTCAGGTTCTGAGTAAGTGAATGAAGTGTAGTTTGAATATCCTAAATAAGTCATTCATGAATTCCGCACCAAGCAGTATTCATTCTGTTTCCAAGTAAACTCAGAATTGGTAAATTTCTTACGTTAGGAAAGTGTATACTTATGGTCAAACTTCCAGGCAAAACCAGTTCTTCAGCCCTGTGTTATAAAACTGCCCACACTAATTATTAGCGTGCTTGCTAAAAAAAAAGTGAGCATGCAAAGAATAAAAGAATTTTCAAATACCAATCTCCAGCATCTATAGAATACATCCTGTAAGGAAGTCAATGAGATTCCAGAGTCAGTGCAAAAATCTTCTTGGAGAGTTAATGTAAAGAGAAATCCATGCCGACAACCCAAGAAGTTGCCTGTGAAGGCCCAAGGAAACTTGTGTTGCAAACAAGTTCTAATGTAATTAAAAGCCATAAATGTCAATTAATGTGTTAATATTTCATATTTTAACAAGCTGTATGTTGTCTTTTGGAACACATTGAGATATTGAAACATGGTCTATTAAAGAAATAAATATAAGAATTAAGACTATGATGTTATATCAATATGTCTAAATAGCCCAAAAGCTCGACTGTAAGAGTTTTGCAGCAAAAAAGAAACTTTCAGACCAGGTTTGGGAAATAAAGTAAAACTGCACATTACATGAAGCTTAATATTGATAGCAAATGACCCTTTTTTCTCCTTCTTTCCCATTCAGTTAATTACTGTTTTGGAACATTAAGTGCACTCAACTTTATGTCAGGCACTTAACTCCTGCTGATGATGAATCTGTCTAGCAAAGGATTTGATCCTTGAAGTTAGTGCTTCGATAGATAACTTTAGCAGCAGCACATCCTGTAAGTAACCTGCCTTCTTGCCAATTAATTAAAAACTAAAGTGAATGTATGTTTCTTTCCACATCAAAACCTACTCTGTAGAATGTATGTGTGTGTGTATGTTAGCATAAGCACTCACCTGGCAAATGTTCAGAGGCAGGCTTGGAATGACTTATAATAGGCAAGAGGGAATGAGAACATAACAGCTTAGATTTCCATACAGATGCTATTCCAAAGCATTCCTAGGCCTTATTTTCTTTATAGACAACTAAAATTCACACTTTCTCCAGGCACCAGCCATCTCCGAGTTGAAACTCAGCAGCTGTTCAGCACTTGACAGCAGTACCACAGTTGGAAATGCCCACTGACAAACACATTTATTTTCCTCTGAGATAGCTGCATTTCAGTTTTTGATGAAGGCAAACCAGAGTAGCTAAATATTATTTGCAGGAGCCCTTTGATGCCTTGACTGCAAGCATATGGCAACAAAGTCTGTTCTGCAATCTACGCAGACAAAAAATTAAGATAACTGAAAGAACGGTCTCTATATCACAAATGTGAAAATGAGGCACAGAAGGCTGCCTGTAAAAAATAGTCTAAGCCTACACCTAGATCATCTTAGGTGCAGGATAATCAATAAGATTAATATTTATCTTCTCTCAGTGCACCACAGTAACATAACTCATCTCTAAATAACACAGAATCAATTCGATCCACTTGAAGTAGAACTCGTACGTGAATTACCTACCACACTACTTGAGGAATGGTTTTGAGAACTGCTATGGCAGTAGCTGCTTACTAATTGTCCAGAGAATAGCTAGCTCTGAACATAAAGTGGAAGCTCTTATGTACACCAATTATTACTAAATACTTCTGCATTTGAAATGGGTTTTATGCATGCCAGATATTTCAGAAAGCATGCTATGCTCATGTTATCTACAGATAAACTATAGGAATCCAGGTTACCTTTATGGCTCCTCACCAAATACAGACAGGAGACAGCATTTGCAGTAGTGTTCATTTACATGTGCACATGCAGAGGAACACCCTGCAGGCCCAGCACAGAAATCTGTTGGTATAGTCATGCTTACCATGATCTGGAAAACTTCCCAGGCACCTGAGAAAAGCTCAGTGCTGCATTGGGTAGTTTTCATATGAAATCCAGGTCCATAAGCACACTGCAGATCTCTCCATTCTTAAGGTTCTGCATAGCTCCCAGTCCTGCTCCTCATCCTCCAAAACAGTTGCTGCTTGGAGGCTAGTTAACTTGAAGGAGTTATAAATCAAGTTATGACAGCAGGATTCATGTGCACACATACACAAATGCATTCTCCTCTACTACCTGGTGTTGACAGGGCTTGCAGAGAGTGTAAGATTAAAGCATTAAGAGTCCACTGTAACGCATAGATCAGTTCACACTTCTCAAAGCTACTGTCTCAATTTGCCTGCAGATGAGGTATTACCAATAAGAAGGTGTCTGCCAGTGCCACCTAAACAGCTTTTTCTCACAGCTGTGAGCACTAAAATAAAACAATAGCCAAGAGTATGTGGTTTCAGGAGTCAGAAAGGCAGCACAGCACTAAAAGCCCTACTCATAAAAGCCCTACTCATCTCTCACTCAAAGACACCCTTCTTGGCAAATTCAAGTCAGTTATATAAGTAAGTCTTCCAGCAAGGCTGAGGCAATTATTTTAACTGCGGGAAAGTCCTTCTTAGGGTACATCATAATCTCATTCTTACTTCATATCTATCAGAGGATCACCATCTGCCTGGGTTTATGTGCTTCAGCTTATTCACAAATGGGGAATATGCTTAGTTTATAGTATGGAGTGAGCTTGCTGACAGTAACACTGTATGTATATGACCCAAAGTATGCAAGTTAAGCAAGTCCCACAAAATTTAATAAGAACTATGTACTTCTGTCATTCAGGTGCTTTTGAAATCTCCATTCTTAGGGTGCCTTAGAAACTGCTTCATTTATAGTACATGGTATACCATTTGGGCATATGCATTACAAGAATATATTGTCTTTTGTGATAATAATGAAAAAAAAGACCAAGTAAAAGCTTAAAAATCATGCTTAGAATGCTTTAAGAGCACTGCTGCATAATTAAACAATCAAATTTTGATTCCTGTTTTAAATTACACTTAAGACCAAAAGCATTCAATAACATCTATGAGATACATAGGTACTTAACAGCATCCTTTTGAATGACTACAAAGCTCTAGAGGAGATGTTGCCACCTTTGTGTCTATTAAAGAGCTATGACAGGTCCTAGTCATGATAAGCTTTTAGCCCAGCTGTTAGAGAGGAGCTGTCAGTTCATGGAGAAAACAGGTAATCAGAGTTGAAGGATTTAATGCAATAACAATTATCCCTTAATATATATCTTTTAGAGCAAGGGAAACATATTCAGGTTTTCAGTACTTTGTTGTCACGAAGGAGTTACAAAGAGCAAACAACTGAGCAGGAGACTGTATGATGATTTCTAAGCAGCCTGCAAGAAATGTACTGCTCAAGCAGTCAGTCAAAAATTCAGCCAGGCAGGACACTGCCCAAGAGAAGGGGCAAAGACTGGTAAGAATTTTTTATTTCTCCCCAGTTTGTCATCCAGAAACACCCAAATGATCAGCTTAATACTGGAAAAATTCAAAATGCTGCCTGTCCTGATACTATTATTGGGGCATGATGGCAGTAACCTCTGAATACTCAATGTCCTATTGCAGGAATCATACCTTTTTTTTGGAACAGTACCTAGCTGCTGAGGAAGTAAAGCTGCAAAGAATCAGAAGGTGGCCCTCTCAAATACAGACAAGCAGCTGTCTGCAAACCACTTAGCGGACCCTGAGGCAATAGCCAGGAGAATGCTGGATAGGTATTAAAAACAGGCATTCCAGTCACATGCAGATTTGCTTCTGGAAAAAGGAAAAGGAAGACAACAGGTGGCATTCTGGAGGTTATGACAACAATCCTAGAGCCATAGTAACTGCATGGAACTAAATTTTACAGCAGGAATGACAGACACTGTTTTTGTGTCACACTCTGGTATTCTCATGTTAATAGAGATGCAGTTAAGCACAAGAGGCTGAGCTGCTCAAGTCCAGATCGGATGAGAAACCTCCATCTGCAGAGACAGAAAACCCCCACATTTTACACTATATATCCAATTGGTACTTAGCTTTTGGAATTGGCTGGCTGATTGCCTCACCATTTGCTAGTCAGCACAGCTACATCTGTATCTGTAAATTCAAAACCTTCCAGTGAAATTCCCAGATGTTGTCATCATCTGTGCTATCAAGCTCTTGAAGCATTTTCTGACATGGGTTTGGCCTCTTCTCAGACAACCCCAGGCCTTGTATGGTAGCTGGAATATTTTAGGGACTGCTTCTAGCAGGTGGTTTGAATGCAGTCAGCATCTTGTGATGTTTAAGACTAGTAGCGTGTTGACAGCTACCACCTCAGTACTCAGATGTTTGGTTTATTTATATAATCATTCAACAATTTTTAATTCCTTCACAGCTAAATCCCATCTCCGAAGAAGAGTTTTTCAGAAGTGTATGATTTAAACCTGTGGTGTTCCCTCCCAGTTCTCCAAGTGTGATAATGAAGCTGTTGAAGAATTCAAAAACTCCTTTAGATTTGGTTTATCATTTGCATTAGTGTTGATTTACTGTCCTCAGTGATATTACTGTGTTTTGAACCTGGCATAACAGGCAGGGAAGAAAAAACATATAATTTAAATAAAGCAGTAGTAATGAAAAATCTTATTACTAAAGCTGTTCAGTTGAAACATTAGATATTCCCTCGTGAAAAAAAAAAAAAAAATACAATTGTTTTATAAACTCCACTGCCCAACCTGGCTTCAGCTCCCCCTGCAAATCTGTTCTGAGAAAGTACCTTATGGATATCATGTTTTGGAATTCCACGCAGTGTGCTGTAATAATAAAGATGTTCCCAACCAGTTAAAAATTCATCCAAGGCATCTTGCTGTGGACAATAGCCAGTGAGAATGCCTTCAGAGCTGGCAGACAATATATCCATTTCAGACCTGTTTAAAGAAAGAGCAAAAACTTGGATATTGTTTAAAAAACACACAGCTCTTGGTTTCAACCTCAGGATTACAGAGATCCCCAAACAAAACCACTTGCCCTCAAACTCCATAGGTGAAGGAGTTTGAATCTCTTCACTGTGATTACCCCAAACACACAATGCATGCTTTTTGTCCCTTCCAGATTAGCACTGCCACCCATGTGTCACTATTCTAACAGTATTTGCATGAAGGTGAACAAATCAGTACAGGACAGATATATGATAATTAATTTTTACCACATTTGCCTCCCTTACCTCTTTGGTAGACCCTGCTCTAAGGAGACATTTCAAAACCATACTGCCTGAATCACATTCAGTAATGAAGGGATAAGAGTTGAGAGAGAAGGAAATGTTGCTGTGTATCCTTTGTGTGTCTGTGCACACACATATGAATGCATGCATTCTCTGAACAAGAGTAAAACAAAATGCAGAATATTATAAAGTCTAGTACATTAAAAGACAATACAGGGAAAAATATAAAATTATCCTGATTTAAGAGACTTTGACCATCACTTTGTAGCTGTACAGCATTGCTTGAAATTACATTCATTGCTAAGAAGCAAGCTTGATTGCAAGGGTGTCTCATTACCCATAATGACACTAATCTATCCAATTTATTCCAACATCTAATTCCACATTCAATGATGCTGATTTCCATGTACAGAAAAGACCTGTCAAAATTGAGATACTTAATAAAAAATCTGAGCTTTGGCAGAAAAAGGGTTCTAAAAGGTTCTGGGTAATAGAATGGTTTTCTCCTCAGTGGATTTCTACGTTTCTGGTTAAGAGAACTAAATACACGATTAATCATTTAGACACAAAGTAAATATATTAAATGCAGAATCTACAAATAGCAGTACTAGTGAAAATATAAATATGTATCTCCTGTTAACAAGGTTCAGGAGACTGGAGAGAAAAAGAAAACACAAATTCTGCATTTTACATAATCAACTACAGCATCAAAATATATTTTAATGCTATCAAAAGATAAGTTATCACGATTCGGATGAACCTTGCTGGGGACTAATTAGACTTGTCCTCTGCTGTTAATAGCAAAGATATAAAATTTCAGTATTTTTGTAGGTTTGGGTGGTGCCAAGGAAGTTTACTCCCTGTAGACATCTATCTAGACAAAGACTTAGCAAAAAAGAAAATACGTACTAGGGGAAAGGAGTTAACAAAGTGTACTTCCTCAGTAATTTATATCTGCTAATTGGTTATTTGAAATAATGTATGTACAGAATTTTACCAGCTCAGTCTCCAGCCACACCTAAATCCAATTAAATTGAATTTTTAAGGTTATCTTTACCATAAAATACGGATTTATTAACATTGATGTTTTTGCATAACTTGTCAGAAGCAGTGGATTCCTTATTTAATAAACACTAACACAGTGAAACACTATCCACAGTGAAAAGTTATCTAGAATCTGCTGTACAGAGAAACGTGTCCGAAATTTGTTTTGCTAGGAATATTCAGGCATAATAACAAGGTTTCCTTTTAGTGAAGCTGCTGACTTTAAAGAAACAAGAGACCGGGCTCTTGGTAGTATGCCAGCTTCAGTCACAAGAGAACAAATCACGCTCAGGGGTAATTTCAGGGACATTTTCTCAGCATGAAGCCTGTAGCTGACCCTGTAGCAGGATAGAAACATCTAGTCTGGAATGAGTCCCTACCATGAAGAACAAAAAATAAGTATGCATGGCTGCAAAAAATAACAGACATCAATGTCCTTTAGCTAGAACTGTATTAGACAGGAAATAAAAGTACTGTGTCCCCAGTCCTAATTGTGCAGATCCAATTTTAGTGTTGTGGCTCCAGTAGAGAGCACAGCCTTAGATGAGCAATATCCCACTCACTGACCTTTAGCTTTCATAAAGGAAGAGTACAGTAAGAATAGATCATTTAATATTCTTCCTCAATTTGGTCCTTATCTTGCAACTCCATTCATTAGTGCTGACCTTGAACACTTAAAGAGTTCCCATTAATAAGGAGATTCTAATGCATTCACTAAACAACTCATGGACCTATTTTTTTTCCAAGTCTGTTCCTGTCAAAGCAGAAAAAAATCTGACCAGAAGAAAAAAAAACAAACAAACAATAAAAAACAAAAAACAGAAAAAAAACCACAAAACAAACAGACAAAACAAACAAACAAAACATAGGAGCATTCTGGACATTTTTAGAATGTAAAGTGCAATGCCTATTCTTCTCTCAGCAATATCACTGAGTAGATTTCAAAATCAAAAAGCTGGAGATTATCCTTTAGTTTTGTTTATCTGGGTCCTAAGCTTTTTCTGAATACTGAAGGAATAGATGAAATAAAAAACACGGCTTAATTTTTAATGATATTACATACCTTACAACAGAAAACTGCCCTCATCTCTAGGAACTGATTTTCCTTGAAATTCAGTTAATCTTTCAGATTTCATTTTCATGGGTCTAAATGAAATGAACTTTTCAAGTAGTGATGGCATGATACCAGAAAGCCTTTTCACTAAATGATATCCTGTAAATGCTTTTCTCTAAATGATATATTGTAAACAGTTTTCCCTTTTTTAAAAAATCCTGATGCCATTCATTAAACCAATTATAATCCTCTTCACCCTCAACAAACACCTTTATGTATGATGCTATCAGAACGAAATTGGAAATATAGGGGGTTTAATATTTTCTGAAATATAGATTAGCATGTAACAAAATGCTGATTTTTTTTATTGTTTTTTCCTTAAGCTAGAGAAAAAAAGGTTTTGTTTTCTGCACTTTTATTATCATGCTTGCATTTCTCATTAGGTCATTCATATAAAAAACAGGACATACAGGAAGAAAAAAACGGCTTGTTTTATAAACAAAGAGAGAAAGAACAATGTATATACACATCTGAGGGAGGCTGTCAAGAGGATGGGGACAGACTTTTCTCAGTGGTGCAAGGCAATAGGACGGGAAGCAACAGGCATAAACTAAAGCACAAGAAGTTCAACCTGAATATGAGGAAGCCTGAATGTTATAATAGGTCACCCAGAGAAGTTGAATATCTCCAGGGAAGGAGGCTCCACAAGAGCTGTCTGGAAATAATCCTGAGCAATGTACTCTAGGTGACACTGCTTGATTAGAGACATTGGACTAGATGGCCTCTAGGTTAAGGTGGTCCCAACCTTAACCGTTCTGTGAAATAAATAAATATTCCAATCTCTCTCAGCCTTTTGTCCATAATATAAAAAGACTGAGTAAATGTTATCTTTAAATTGTGTTAATAACTTCGGTTTCATACCCTGATAAAGTTAAGATATAGAACTAACATGGAACACAAGTTTTCTCCTTCCTAGTGAAGACTTCACTTTTAGACTACATTGTTATGCTCAGTCACTACTTCCAATTGCTATTTATTTTTTCCTTTAAGATGGAACAGCTGCAACAGATGAAACCAACAGAACATGTCCATAAAACTTTGTATATTGAACAAAATTTTAAAGTTGCAAAATTACATTTCTTCTACTCTTTCAGAAAAGGTCAATAAAATGTATGACAACCTCAAGAGAAATAGCAGTCTAGCACTGGAAGCATGGAAGATATTCTATTCCATCCCTTTCTAAGTGCTTTGGTCTCTATACAGTGAGATACTTTGGTACAAATAATACTGGAGGATTCCATTAAGTTTGGTGTGTTCATCTTACAGAATTTTGTGCTGTCAATGAAAGAAACTTACCAGACTCGCAAGATACTGGGGATAATAAACTAAACCTTGAGTGAATAAAATTTTTGATTCAAAGTTGTTCCTCCACTGATCATTTTAAGGCCTTTTACATTGATCCATTTCTTTTGTGCATTGAAAGAAACCCTTGAAATCTGATTACAGCCCTGAAAGCTACATTTAGGTGGCATGAGGCACTCCTGTCAGAAAGTCTTTGCTAGCACTGGAAAGAAACCAAAACACTGGAACAAGTGAGAATGATCTTGGACAAAAGCTGTTGCCCTCTCCCACTTGAACTGGACCTGCAGTTTCCAAAAGGATAGACTGGTTATTACAGAGATAGATTTGGTTCTTATTGTTACAGGGGTTACCAGGAACATAGCTTATAGGTAGCTGTGGGCTGATCTTCAACAGTACACCTCAGTCTTAGTCTTACACTTAGTATTCTCAATATCAGCCTTACGGTTGTTTACGGAAAAATTGTTTCACTATTGACTCCACTGCGCACTTTGCTTCACTTTTGTGTGCTTCTCTGCAGTATTTGAATGCAGTTAAAATAAAGGCAGTGATATATACAGTTCTTACAATGTCTTCTGTAAAGAGATAAATTCCATTTTAGTCAAAATGAAATATAAATGTACAAATTGCAAAAGCAGTTAGACATTCTACTGTACTCTTAACTACAGACTCAATCAAGTGCATGTTAATGCTCAATTAACAATAGAAAAAAAAAACAAGGTTACAATTTAATTAATGTAACTATAGCATAGTTACAATTAAACTAATTATAAAGATATACAGTGTAGTAGCCATTGTATTGATGTAAATTTATTCTGCCTTTCAAGTAAAGCTATTTGAATTACATTTTTAAGTATTTATCAAGATGAATATCATACCTATCAAGAGTCCGAATTCTAGCTATAAAGACATTATTTTAATTTCACCTCTTTGGAGAGCATTTTTTTTTGTCCTACGACTTTGTAAGCCAACAGCTGAGATGACTGACACTTAATGAAAACGGGATGTGAGGCTTCTGTCATGGGGAATCTCTCTGTGCAGAAGTAAGATGGAAATTCATGGGAAATAAATTAATTAAATGAAGATGATTGCCAAGTGCTCCAAGCCTCAGTTGGGCAATTTATGAACAAAATGACACCCGGCTTATCTATATCTTCCTCTATGCACCCCACAAGTGGGATTTTGGCGTAAGTATGAATTTAAAGTGAACTCTATTCAGCAAACTACTGAATATTCAGTAAAGAATGTACGTAAAGAGTACAGAGTATGCAGTAAAGACTGCAAAATACAGAGTGCCAAAAAGGCACACAAATGACTAGTCACGTTATCCATTATTTTACGTTGATCTTGACATGACGAATGGAAGGATTTCGACACTCTTCTTCCAAGCTGTGTTTAGCCCTCCTCATTTGAGGGAGGATTTAGGACAGAGTTACTGAAGAAGGTTTAGAAACAATTATGAAAAGAGAAAGAATACAAAGACTAGCTAATGTACACTCAAAAAACCAAACAAATATAAAGGAACAGATATACAATATCTCCTGATAGATCAGCCCAGCAGAGATTCAAAGACTATGATGACTTGTTTTGTCCTCCTTTGTTTTACCACTTTATTGTCATCTTTTTTTAGTACACATTTAATACAGACCTTACTTCTTCAAGCTATTTCAAAGAAAAAATAACAGAAAAAATATTTACAGTTTTACACACTATCTTTCATTTAGCCAGCTCATGCACTGGTGACAATCTATTTATGGCAGTAGAGCTAAGCATAAGCTAATTTGAGTCCATTTGTACTCTTAAAGAGGAACAGCTGTGTTACAGAGAACACAAAAATACCCCTTCTAAATGTCAAGCAGACCATACAGTTAACTAGTATACGTATTTAATCTTGACAACTCATTATATGGGTGTTGTTCAAAAAGCCAGTTACAATGTCCTAATGTCTTATAAGACCATACTTCATAAATACAGGTAAGCAAATTTTATTAAAATAGTCTCCTTTCCAGCAATTTTCCTTTCTGTTTTTAATATTTCTGTCTTTTATGAAAGGGACTGCTGGTACTTCAGTATTTTATTTCCACAACTTCCAAAGTAACTGTTTCAATGCTGCTTCTTACTTTAGCACTCTCATACTGGGGTTGCAAATATCCCTAACATGGAGACACTTTGTATATGATAATTATTTTTATGTTCCATTTGTACAGACATGTCACTGACAATGGCAAAATTAATAAAAAAGGTAAAGTCCTCTGTAATATCCTCACAAGACTGGATGTGGTTGGTGATAAACGCCTATTATTTCTCTTACTGGACTATCTTTACCACATTGCAGTTACAATCAGCATGGGATTGTAGAGTTCAGAAGTTGCCTAAAAACAGTTGCTGCAGAAGGGTATGAAAATTAAAAGTTTTTTTTTAGACTGCCTAGTTTATGCACTACAAATGTGTATTTGCCGTGTAAATGGTAAAATATAATGTTCAGGCAAATAATGTATTTAAAATATCTATTTAATTTGTAGTGTATCAAAGAGGGAAAAGCTTAATAAAAAGAGATCAGAAGCATTCCCTTTCCCAAAAGAATTCCCCATCAAGAAGAATGCCAGGAAACCCAGATTTGCAGAATAGGTAAAGCTGGTTCTAGTATTAAATAAATATTATTGTGGAATAACAGCCCATTTTGTGAATCTCACTGATACTGAAAATTTACAGAACATCTATATTTTATACATTTTACCAAGCTTTTGTTATGAAAACACTTTTCTCTTGGATTCTTAGGAATAAGGTCCTTTTTGTGGGATTGAGCATTAAGAAATCAACTAGCGGCAAACAAATCTCTTAGAAGTACTTAAAGATATTGTGAATGTGTTCTTCTGCCCTGTTACCAAAGCAGCTGCCACTTAGAAATACATTTTTCTTTTTTTCTTCGAGAATCTAACCGGAGTTCCCTGAATACAACTTGATTATCAATGCATGAGGTTCTTTCTATATAATCCCATGCACTTCCAAGATGTTTTAGGTTTAACTTCTGAAAATTTTACTTTGCAATTCAACACAAGCTTTTCAAAAAGATTCTCTTCCATTTCTAGTCCCTATGTTGTCCAAAGGTGCAAAAACTGTCCTGTAAAATTCAAGGCTGTTTTCAGCGCACTTGTCTCACAGAGACACTTCTGACTTAATTTTAAATTCAGTGAAATTATTAAAATAGCAATCAGGAAAATGTACATATGGTTTTGTCTGGGGATTTTTGGAGGGGGTTTGGGTGGTTTTTTTGGAAACCAAGAACATTCAAACATAGTTATTTAAGGAAACAGGAACTTCTATGAATTAAGGATATTCTGCATGGAGTTATGTCAGTAAGGTTCTCCAATATTTATAATAATAATTTTGCATACTCATTCATTATATGATCATGAAGAATGTATCAGGAAGGATCCAGCAGATAATAGTATCTTGTCCTTTCAGGGTCACAGAGGACAAAATTTGTATTCTTTCCAGTCAAACCCAACAGACTTGCAATCTATATTTCAGCATCTGCCCAAATTATTCATCAGGAATCACTATCAGAGGTAATGTCTGAATGGAAGATGCTTCATGACACACATTTTAAACAAAGAAATCTAGATCTGCTGACCAGAAAATGGTTTGCAGCTGTGACCAGCAGCTGCTTTCTTCAGCTGTCTCTCCTCTCTTCCTATGCCAGGAATACCAGGCTTTTGAGCACATTACTGGAGTAATAAAAGAAGACCTCTTACCATATAATCCGCCTTCCTCCATTTATCTCAGGTGTAAATATAAACCAATTCACTTCAAAGTCACTGTGATGAGTAACTTTAGTCATTCCTCAACTGCTGAGGGGTTCTCTAGACCTATGGTTATAATATCACCTGTGAAAGAGTCAATGCATTTGGCCCCTACTGATTTTCAGTAATTGAGCAACACAGGGCACCATGATCTGCTTAACGGGAGTTGACAAAATATGAGGCAAGGAAAAAAACCAGGAATTATACAAATCTTTTCTCCTATCCTTTAAGCTGTTTGCTGCCTCAAGTTTACCTACTGTGTAACTGAAGCTCTTACTTGAGGTTGCCTTCTCAAGTTAGTGATAAATTTTAAGAACTTGGGGATATGGGGTTTTACTCTCAATTCAACCACTTCAAACACATAAAAATCCATAACCTAGATTGACACTACAATAATGCAGTGTGATAATCAGTGTTGTCCAGTGTATTTTTGACATTTAAATGCAAATCTCTAAGAACTAGGAACTTTACTTCCCCTCCAGTTTTGCTAGGAAAAATGGTAAAGGTTGGTCACATCTGACCCACAAAGTCCATTATTCACTTACCACTCCATCAAAATTAGCCGCAATACCACGAACGCTACCTCCTATATTTACAGAGCATATTGATCAAGTAATTAATGAGTTTGAAGGATATGAGTGTCAGAAAACATTTTAAAATTATCCACTTGAACCATTGCTCATCAGCCTAAGCCTGGAAACCTTTCAATGCGTCACTAATGTGGGGGATATATGTCCATGCATCTGGACATACTGTATGCTAAGATTTTTGTTACAATTTTAAAAAGCTGCATGTTAAGGCTTCCTAAAGCCTATTTATTTTCTTCCAGACAAGCTTATTCTTAATTAACAGACCTGTCAGATGGAATTAAATGATGCTAGAATGCTTTCCAGCAGAGATTTAGCAGCAATAAAGCAATATATATTTAAAAGGGAACAAAACAGGTCCTTAGAGTACAGTACAAAGGACTGAAGACATAACAAGTCTTTGATCACTGGCATTATCAATTAGCACTATTCTGATCAACCTCTGTGTTATTTACCCTGTAGGAGTCCTGATAACAGCACGTCCTGCAGATGGGATGATATCTCCAGTCAGCATCTTAAATGTTGTGCTTTTCCCAGCTCCATTTGTTCCCAGGAGTCCAAAACACTGAGATCAAAATTTAAAAAAAAAAATAAAAAAATAAATAAAAGGGAGCAAAAGCAATCAATCTGCTATGCTGAAAGAAATAATATTAATTCTTCAACAGTTTCTCCCCTTTTCATATTTCTTATCATGTCTGTAAGACACTGTATGTAGAGATATTGTGTCTGCAAATTCCCTTTCCCATGGAAAACCAGTTTTCAAAAATAATCTCATAATAATTTGATTACCCTCTAATTCCTAAAAGTGACTTATTTAGGATACTAGTCCTCCACTTAAAAACCTGCCCAGTAACTAAATACATCATCTATCTATATTATTAGTTCTACATTTGAACATGAGGTTCTCAAGTCCTATTTGAGGGCCCAGACTACCAGTCTACAGATTCAGTATTTTTCAGTTTCTCATGAGTGCCTTCACTCTGTTCAAGTGAAAAAACACCAAACTACCAAGAAAGAAACTGACTCTGAACAGTTATTTTAGGCCCCCAGCTGCAATGAATACATGTTTAAGCTAGGACATGATTATATTAAGTCTACATATAGCACTCATAACTTTCAAAATACTTGTTTCATGAACTTTCTTATTGATAAATAGGCTGTAAACAGCAGTAACATCCTCTTGGTTACTCAGCTAACAACTGATATCTAACTGGCAGGCTGTCGCTGGATCTAGGTTGGTTGCCATGCACCAGTATCTCATATCTGAATTTGCAATTAGCAACCACAAAAAGTCTTTCTTTTAATAGTATTTCTGAAATCAATATCTGCAATTCTTAAAAGCATCAAAGTCATGAAAAAAACAAAAAACCCCAACCCAAACAAGTAAATGTTGTTCTGAAATTTTTAGAATTATCATATTCAGTGTTAAATTTCAGTTTATTAAAATAGCATATTACTATATTGTGCTGTCTTAATTTTGGCTGGGATAGAGTTAATTTTCTTCCTAGTAGCTATATTAAAATATACTGTGATGATGTTTGCCTTAGTGACAAATTCAGGATTCAGTCCACAGTTTACAATTGAGCTAGGTACATTTTGCATTCTCTTTGTACATTGAACTGCTATGCTGCCTACTTGCTTTTTATGTTAGCTTATAAAACCGCAACTTAGTATAGATAAGCAAGAAGGAAAATTAAGACTGATGAATGTATAACCCCCCCATACGAGTGAACAGTTGCTTCTTAAACACCACCAGAGCTTCTGCTTTTAAACAGCTATTGATTTTCAGAAATTGCTACAATTGAAACTGCTCTGCTGCTATCTGCAGATCACTGATTATAGACATCCTTGGTGTGTGAACAATAGCTCAGAATGAAGTGTTATTTTCTGAAAGGAAAAAACAAAACAACCCTCTTTACCTCTCCCCTTGGTATTCCTAAGTTTATGTTTTCCACAGCTGTGTTCTTCTTGAAACCTCCATAACACTTCCTGAGGTTGTACAGAAGGAGGATATCATTACCAGTTCTTCCACTAAAGAGTCGCTGTCTCTCCGTTTCTACATCAATATCTTCTGAAGGCATCACCATGCTTTTAGATGAACAATGACCCCTAAAACAGAATAATTCTGGTTTGTTTTCCTGTTTGCAATCCATTAAATCCCTCAAATCAGCAGAATACAAGGGAGATAGCAACTACCTTGTCTTTTTTCTGCAGTTTTCACTAATTTAGGTACACTATATTGTCAGAAGTGTTTAAGTTCAGGTGTTCAAAGTAATCCACTCTTTTCTTTCTTTAAAACATAGTCATTGTCCACTATGGCAGAATACAACTAGTAACACACCTTGGTTTCTGGAGGAGATCCCAATGAAGAAAAAGTCTTAAAAGAAGGAATAGTGTTCCTTGCATGGTCATTTCCACAAAAATCCAGCCCAGGAAATTCATCTCAAAGGGGCTCACATATGAATCTATTCCAAAATTGCTGGTCAGGTCAAACTTGATCTGATTGTACGAAAGTTCTATTAAGCCCTGGCCTAAGCAGAATTGTGGGAATACGATGAATGCCCATTTGAGGATACTGTAGATGTTCTGCAAACTCTGTATTAAGATTCAACAAGAGACAGGGGGAAGGAAACAAAATCAGTTTTCACCAACAGCATATCAAGCACACTTACAAAGCTGGATACTGTATTCAAATCTCATTCAAGGTGAACTGATTTTGAAGTAGCATATTGTGAGCTATTTTGGGTCAAGGTTCATTTATTTTAGACTGCCAGAGGATTCTAATCTTAGTGAGGTTCACAGATAGTAAGAAAACATGATCATTTTATTTTCTTAAAATTTTAATATTTGAATACCATTAATTCTAAATTACCAACTTAAACCCAAGTCTTTTCCATCAAATTGCTTAATTACCATTATGAATAATGAAAATTACAGTCATGGAGTGAAAATGCATATTACTATTCATACAGTGCATTGCAGATCCTAGGAATATGCAGCTTCTCTCTTATGTCAATATTATTCAAGCACATTTTATAATGCATATAATCTATTTAATGGACCAGAACAGCTCCTATTATATGCCAATTACAGCTTAATGGTCTGGAAAATGTCAAGGTTTCAATTAACACTGTTTTCCCATTATTACAGCGTGTTTGGTTTGGGTTTGGTTTTTTGTTGCCTTTGTTGCCTTTGTTGTTCGTTTGGGTTTTTTTTGTTATAAACATGTTAAAATTCAAGATGGCAACAACCAATACAGTATACACTAGGATAGGAAAATCATAAATTTTCAAAGCACATGTTTTTGTACTGGAAAAAATTCTTGTCTATGTATATGTATAAACACATATGCACACACAAACATACATGCATGAATGTGTGTGCATACATCTTACGAGTAATGTAAAGAAAAGGGTTTATACTGACCTGCACTCTGGAAATTATAGCTAACAAACGAGGTAAGAGAGTCACAAGCATGGTACACAGGCCAAATACAAAATTTAAGGAGATGTAAGAAATAAAAGCTACATCTGAACTCGAGAAGAATCGGGATACAAGATACATCCATGGCAAAGTTGCATATCTGAAAGGTTAAAGAAATAAAATTATTGCAAATAAGTTATGGGTTTACCTCGCAAAAAAAAAAAAAAAAAAAAAAAGGCAGTTCCAACACTAGGGGAAAAAAAGAAATTACTCCTTACTTTTAAAATAAGCAAAAAACTTTTTTGACCAAATGAGAAATAAACACAAATATGGGATGTGTTTTTTGATCAAATTATCTTATGATTCTATAAATGTACACATAGCTGCTGCCATGTGAGGGGCAGATATGATCCATTTTTGCATATATTGACTGCATATCTTTATTTTCACTGTTCTAGGAAAATCACAACAGTGCTTCCTGAATTACTGCAAAACCAAGCATCTTAACAAGCCTCTACACAGAGATAGATTTAAAATCAAGTATTTAAAGCTTAAATCATGAATGCTGAGGAATCAGCTTTTCTTAGAAGCTTTTTCCTAGTAAGAAAAAAGAATCAAACAAGGAAGGAGAGAGCGACAGTGTTATCTGAGAACTGAAATTTGCCAGAGATTATATAAGCATTTTTGTTACCTAAACCAGGTTATCAGCTAGAAGAGTAGTAGCCATCAAAATGAGTGCATAGTTACTTCATAGCACAATGATGATAAGACAGTATTGTTCATGGCTATATAATTTTCAACACAATCTTTAAAGAAGGAGGGAAGTCACCCTCCGTGCTGGCAAGCCAAATGATACTTGTCCAAAATGGAGTGGTCATATTTTTTATAAAAAGATATGTCTAGCCAGACTAAAAAGAATGCCCAGGAAATTTGATAAGCATGAATGTCATGTAAAGGAAGTTTATTTTCCATTTAACATAGTGCAAGACATATCTATCAAAGAACAAGTATATAGACTGCAGGACAATAGGCATCAGCATAAACCATTCCATGATGTTGAGTATATATGTACTATATATATATATAGTTGTATATATAAATACTTCTTATATAGTATTAATATATGTATGTAGAATTGTTTAATAGTGAGCTCAATGAAAGAGAAACTAGCCAAAAATCTGTGAATTTACTTCTTCATTGTTTTAAACAGTAGATTATGAGCCTTTAAATTCAGCATCATGTGCTTTGCAGATGATTTTTTTTTATCTAAAAAACACCAAAATACTTTTCCTTAAGAAACAAAACTTTCAAATCCTGCTGTGAAATAATAATGTTATCCTTAGTTTACAAGAAGGTAAAGGTTAAATGACCTAGTGTTTGGGTCTCAAATGAAGACAGTAAGTATTCAAGATCACACTATACTTTTCAGCATCCTGTTGTCAGTCTTAATTACACAGTCTTTTCTTCCTTTCAGTCAGATGCCAAAATTACTGTTCTAAGTTTTGCTCTGAATTATAATACCATAAATAGAAGACAAGTCCAACTTTGGAAAAAGCACAGGAAAGAGACATGATTTAAAGTGCTGTTACTCTGTCGTAAATGAAAGCAAAATTTGGTTTGTTTGCCTGTAGCTGCTAAGAAATGAGTAAGACTTTCAGAATACTAAAGTTGTATGATGTTCAACTGCAGCTTTAAAGTAGCTGCCAGTCATGCCTACATTTCTATCGTAACCTTCTTTTCCTTCAGCTTCAGCTGTAATTTACTATTTTGTAAGTATCAAAGAGCATTTCAGACAAAACTGCTTAAGCAGTTGCCCTATAAAACACTTCTGCTATCAGCTAAAAGAGGAGAAAAATGCAGCCTAGATAAGAGACTACTGTATTTTTAAAGGAAAACAGTTTTAAAGTAGCAGACTAGGAAATTGTTGATTATTCTTTTCAGTGCACCTTTCTGGAACATAGTTTAACTTTTTTATATAACTGCACTGTTTTTATCTTTATTCCAGATGAGAAATGTTCCACAAGTTCACCCTGATGAGAAAAAATAAAATTTTTAAAACAAAAAGTGTATTATGGAATGCAGATAAGTAAGAATTAAATGTATGGTACTGGGACAGGATAAAATGACCACAATAGGTTTCATCACATTTACTTAGTACAACTCTGAAATTTATTAGTGTCTGTGAGACGTTAAATTTACTGACTGCTATTGTTTCTTTAATACATGCTAATACACATTGAATACATAGACCTTCTTTTTAAAAATCACTGTAACATCTGTTACGTCAGCCAGAGCTGAACAGTACAGAAGGATTATGCTGAGATGATTAAATTGCTTCTGCAGTCAACAAAAAATAATTCCTGGAAGGCAGTCCAGCTTTTCAGCCAATGCTTCTTTCTTCTGAAACACCCAAACTTTACTTCAACATCTTGATTAAAACAACACCAGCATAACACTTAACACCTGGGATTTAGTAGCATACTGTGGGAAGGCCCAAAAGCTATAGCACACCATAGAAAACATGTCATGACCTCAGCAGATGTAGAACTATGTACTGTATGGTTCATTTACTGTTCAGCTAAGATCTCTATAGATATTCTTATGCTAGGGTCACAGCAGCTGGATTACAAGAAGGATTCAACAATTGTAAAGGTAATAAAAACAAAAATGAGTGTTAATAGTGAAGTCTTTCCACAAAGACTGATAAGAATTTCTTCCTTTAATTTGCAGGAAACAATTGGTAATAGTGCAAAAGGAAGGGGAAGGAAGATGAGAGTGATATAGAAAGAAAAGTATGAACTTTGAATGTTTCATTTGACTTATTTGTGAGATCCTGGCACCATGACTTCTAGAATATTACATACAAGTCTGACCACTCATGCCCAGGGAGGATGAGCTCAAACCGAAGTTTTAAGGAAAATTAGAATTATCCAGGGAATGGGAAGGGCTATTTACAAGAGAGGACTTAGCTTGTTTGGGCTACAAAAGATGTTTCATGAGGGAGAGTTACAAGGTATGGTTCCAAGTATGCTTAGGCTAGGATTTCAAAGAATACATCTAGCTATGGAGATATTTAAACAGTTTTCAAAAAAAAAAAAAGGCTGCTGTTGGTTGTTGGTGTGAAATCTTGAAAACAATTTCAAGATGCAGTACAGTAAGTACGGGGTCTTTAAAGCGTTTATCTGAGACTCTTCCTGGAATGGAACGTGTTTTGACCTTGCAGAAGTTACTTTCTACTTTTCTTCCCTGTCATTATCTCATAGAGCAGTTATATTTCATTATCTAAACATCTGTCTTGTAAGATATGCATTCCCCCCTACAAAGACAACAACATTTAATTGCTTGAGATAAGTGAGGAACTTCTCAGAATGCATATCCTGCAACTATTCATCTTTCCTCACATCACCTGGAACTACACAGAGGAAGAGTTAAAGGAACAAAGTAGACAATTATTTTGATTGAGCCCAGGGCTCAACAGCTCTATCTCTACAGAGAAATAAATCCTCTGTTTAAGCAGTTATTTTAACTTTTTATAACCGTTCGTTCCTTCACATGAAAATAAGGAAGAGGGTGATATTGGAGAATTTTCCTCTCTTACGCTATTTGGAGACAAATCTCCAGATAGCCCAATACTCCACATAGGACAGAATTCTCATTGGAAATATAAATTCCTGAAGCTATGTAAAATTACAGGTTTACAGAAAATGGGTAGAACCATAATAAAAGACAGACACTTCTTACCTTTTTGATAGTATTCTGCACAGCAAAGCACTGAAATTCTGACCTGCTTATGTTACCACTCCCTCATTTTCTGGAAGATAACATGCAACCGATTTCTAACAACAAATGATTGTTATGCAGGCTAAGTATTTTCTGAGACATTTCTAGTCCTTTTTTATTATTAATATTTTTCCTTTCTTTTTTTTTTTCAAATGTGTGAACAAATCTCCCTTCACTTTCCCTGTAGAACTTTCAAACTCATGTTCCAGCCTGCACTTTCGCTATCTGCTGCTAAATCATAATCATTTCAAAGGAGGGAAAATCATGCATCCAGCAGCAGGTGCAAACCAAATCTGAAGATTTCTCCTTGTTTCTTACAAGCTATAATTCCATAGTAGCATTTCCAATCACATACCCAAAGAGTATCAGCAGGAGAACAGTGGCTGCCAAGTTCTTTCGGAAAGTGAAGGCTGATAGCTGGAAGGCGCTAATAACACCAACACACAGGGTGACTGGAACCATGTAAAACAGCTAGAAACAGAATAAAAAAGGCACTTAGCAGGTGAACATCTCTTACTGGACTTTTTTAATTAGCATAGAAGAACTCTACAATTTAACAATTCCAGATTTGCAATATAATTACACTATAAATAAGGAAGAATTAGGCAGAAGAGCTCTGAGATTTCATAGTCCATACTTGATGTGAAAATGCCTGTTACACATATACACATGAAACAGCCTGACAAAATCTGACTACAGAATATTCCTCTTAATTCCATTTCTATTGACTTTTCCAATACCTCCATTTAACAAGCTAACTCTTCCAGACAATGAGTCCATACAGGACTATTGCTCCAAAACATCCAATTATACTGTGAATATGGAGTCTTGGATTCAGAAAGAGCAGTTTCACTGACTGGTGCTTCAGCCATAGGAGAATAGTAAGGACACAATTTTAAAAGATACTTTAATGACAGACCAAGTGTGTTGATGAAGCAAATGACAAGTTTTAATGGGAACAGACATAATATTTAGAAAAGTTACAATCATTACACAAAGGAACACAGTTTCTCTGTTTAAGTCTCTCGACATAATGGTAAGCAAATACTTCAGGGAGGGGAGGCAGATGTGATTTGTACAGCGGATTCATATCCAAGTATTCAAAAGAAATGGGTTCTGCTTGCAACTAGCAATGGCAAGGTGTGAAAATCTGTGTTCAGTTCAATTCTCAGTGTCTGTCTCCTTGTGCACTGAAGCTGAGCTCATTAAAGCAGTGGCTGCCTCAATTTCTGCTTGTATAATATTTACACTGATAATAATATAACTAAGATTCTGACATGCAACTGCAGTAGAGGCAAAAAAATCAAGGTCTAGCTAAATACTTAGTGTAGAACAACAACATTCTTACTGTTAAAATTGGGCTTTCATACTGAAGTACAATGTGAATCTGTTCAATTAAACCAGAAGGTGGCATTACTTTGCCAGTGGGAAGACAGACATTTTTCTCAAGAGAAAGGCAATGGAATGAAATGTAGATAGATGTAATATTCTCATCTTGCTCTCAGTGTACCTTATTCAGTACCATATACAAATTTCATACCACTCTGTAGATATAGGTTTCAGTTATTTTGGAGCTGTTTAAAAAAATATGGTAGAGAAGTCACAAAACAGGTGAGTCACCATATGTTTCATCAGACCAGGGACTTTTTTTTCCCCAGAAATAAATGGGCAATTTTAAACATTAAATTCTATTAGAAATCTTACCTGAAAACTTAGTGTGTTATAAAAGTTGGGCTTGCACAGACAAAATAACCTTAATATTGCCCCTTAAGTGACATAAACTTCATCTGAACAAAATGTCTCCATTTGTAAAGACATTTTCCTGGCACTTATACATCTTCCATTTGTTGGAACATAGCAAAGAATACCAATCACATCTATAAATACAGTAAGAACAGCCTGATCCTCATGACAGCCATTTCATAAATCAAATACTTCTGCAAGTTTAATAAAGATTATGCTACCAATAATACAGGACACAGCCTGTAATAGTTAAAATATGTAGAGGAATTTCAAATTTGACAGTTCATATATTCATGTGTTAGTGTCCCTAAATGATCAGCAGCACAATTAGCATTTAAAGTAGCATCTGTTCTTTCCCAGATCATGATTGATCATGCAGTACTGTGCTGAATTTGAGAGAGCATTTTGAAAGGAAGAGATTGACAGAAAATAATGAGGAGTTGCCTTTGTTGCACAAGGAGAAACTGCATGATGAAGGACCGTTTTAAACCAAGCCCTCTTATCTAAAATGGCAGAAAAAGGAATACAAAGATCGACCGGTCAAGTAAATAACATTTGGAGAAATGTGTTCCTACTTTGAGCTTGCTCAAGTGTGAACACCCCGATTTCAAGCACGGATGGGTGAAGCTCTTAACAGTTCAGATTTATAACAATCTGAATGAGAACAGAGCATTACAAAAATCTCTGTTCTTGACCAGGCTAGTCCATATTTGCTTGTGCTAGATTCCAGCCCTTACTTCCATGACTCATGTGTGTTAAGCAAGGTGCAGAATGTTTATGTCCCTTCACTGGGCCAGAAATCTTTCTACTTTTGAATAATCCAGGTGACTCCAATTGTTCACTATTGCCTCTGAAACCAATCTCCCAATCCAAAACAGTTTGAGACATGAACAATCAACTAATCGTACTCTAGTTCTTTAAAAATAATAATTCTATCCCTTTCCCAGAAGCAGATGACCTAATCTCAAACTCCTGCCAAACACTCAACTAATACTATAGCTAGCCTCATGACAAGCGAATTATGAAAAAGCCTTTCAGTAAGAGATGTATATGTATGCCGCATTTATATAGATACACAGAGGTTAAACAGACATATAGTGGAGAAATTTTTAATTTTAGTTTTTAAAGAGTCACCTTTGAAAAATATATTTGAAGATAATTTGTGGAATTCATGCTTAAATGGAACTCAAATGAGCTCCATTATATAGATTAAAACTTAGTGACTAGGACTAGCAGTGAGACTTGAGAAAATTAATTCTATTTCACCAGCTTTGGTTATTGGTCTGAAGAGAAAGCAACTTCTCAGGCTTGAAGAAGGCAAGCAAAAATTCCTGTTTCATTTAACTATGTTGGCCTGAATCTGACCTGCCAAAATCAGGTCTCAGTAGCATTCCTGTCTTTACATTTCATTAAAAGGGTAAAATTTAGGGGAAAATAATTACTTTTACGGTATTTTCAAAAAAGTAGATTTTCAGATTTCTTAATTAACTGCATATATTTGCATATATTTCTTAATTAACTGCATACTATTTGCAATGTCAACAATTTTAGAAGTTATTTGGTGTGAGAAAAATATTCAGGATAGCGACTTCACCCATTTCTGATCTAAGTCATTTTGTGTATATGAATCCATAAATAATATTTTCTACTGTCTATCTTGCCACAAATAAAAGGTACCAGTTAAGAATATCTGTTATATTACCCACCAACAGACAACATTATTATGCCTTTAAAGTAGCTAAGCAGTATATTCAGGTCTCTCCAGTAATCTGAAAGATTTTGCCAGTGGCAAATCAAGACACAGAAACTCCTATGAAATTCTGTATTGAAGATTCTGTCTGTCTAGGTTGTTTAGCCAGATTTCTTTTATTTTAAAATACTGCAGGTACCTAAAGCTAGCATATGATTTACCTAAAAATTCAACTTTGGAAAACAAAAAACACAATCCCTGCCTTAAAGAATTTTATCTAGCAGTATCAAAGTAGCAATTGTGTCCCAGCACTTGTTATCATGGCAGCCAAGAGCTGTTGATCTGCACAATTAAAATCTCATTTATGAGTCTTGTGACCATATTTTCCTCATTTATGGAAAACTAGTTAAAAATTTATACCTGAATATGTTACATACCATATCACAGCAGAAGTTACCAAGCCAGTAAGTTTTGTAACCCAGGCCGGTGATATGCTGCAGGCGTTTTGTGCCAGACACTCTGTCTTTCACTATGGCACTTCCAATGGAAGCGGTAAAGATAGAGAAACCCAGCATGATACAGAGTGCTACTCCACACTGACGAATGTTCTCCATTCTAGGGTACAAAGTAAAATGGCAAAATGAAAAAACAATGGGGAGGTGGGGGGTGTGTGTGTATGAACAAACCCAAATATTTTCAAGCCCAGCTTCTCACTGAAACAACACTAGACATTAGGACCTTAACCCTGTTTACAAACACCGTGTCTGTACACTGTCAACATTTAATTAGAGAAGAGGAGCAAGATGATGTGTTAAGAGTTACAGAACACTGTTTAAAGTCAGAATAGTAAAGTGAAGCTTTGGCAAATAGAATCATAGAATCATAGAGTTGGAAAGGCCCTTAAGATCATCTAGTTCCAACCCCCCTGCCATGGGCAGGGACACCTCACACTAAACCACGTCACCCAAGGCTCTGTCCAACCTGGCCTTGAACACTGCCAGAGATGGAGCATTCACAACTTCCCTGGGCAAATACTTCCCCCCTTTACAGACAATTAAAATCCAAAAACTTGGCAACCTTTTGAAGCAGTTAACCTCTTTGAAAACGTCATGACCTGTTCACAAACACTGTAAAATGCAGTCAGTGTAAATTCAGTATTTTTCTCTGCAAAATAGTGGAACCATATCTGATATAAACACTAGACATGGCATATAAACACCAGAGTAGAAAAAATGTTTCACTCAGTGGAACTGAATTGCATCTATCAATCAAGCCACAACATCTATTGCGTGCAAAATACATGCTTATTGAATTAAAATTTTCAATTGTCTGCTCATGCAGCTGTTATATATATTAAGAGTTATCTCACATTTTGTCCTCATCCAGGAAGGCTCCTCCATATGGTTGGCTGTAAAGTGTCATCCCTGTGCAAAGAAAAATAAATATGAAATTAAAAATTCACCAAAAAAAAAAAAAAAAAAAAATAAAAGGCACACCTTAGATAGATTGAAACTGTAACTGTAGAGCTTTCAATAAAAAGATATTCAGTTTGGGAAACCAGAAAAAATCCTTACTACGCAATGCAGTCTTAGGCTTATTTTGGTTCTTGGTACCACTAGCCTGTAACAATCTAGCAATCTGAACTTCAGAAGTGGAACATAATTTATGGACAAAAAAATGTGGCTTTTTGCTTTATTTCTTTTCAAGCAAAGAAAAATAATTGTGTGTGTGTGTGTGTATGTGTGTACAAAATTTTATCAGTGAAAAAGCTGCTGTCAAAGAATCACGGAATGGTTTGGGTTGGAAGGGACTTTAAAGACCACCCAGTTCCAAACCCACTGTCACAGGCAGGGATGCCTTCCACTGCAAAGGATGTGGGCAGCCACAGCTTTTCTGGGCAACCTGTGCCAGTCCTTCACCACCATCACCATGGAGAATTTAATATCTAATCTAGACCTACCCTCTTTCAGTTTACAGACATTACTGTCCAACTGCTCTTGATGCAGGTCCTGGCTTATTCCTGCATGTGTACCTGATAGGGGTGCCAGCTGTAATGTTATACTAACCAGAAATTCTTGCCATGAGATCAAACTAGCACTGTCTGATTAGAGTATCTAAATAAATCCATGCTGTTTCCAATTTTAAAATAATTAATTAAAAAATCCATCCTAGCAGCATTATAATCTTCCCAGTATCTTTGGCAAAGAAATAAACTGTTGGTAGCCTTAGATGGATTCTGCAGGGTGCCATTTAATTGAACGCATTTTGTAATACTTTGATAGAGTCCAGTTGCATAAAGGCAAAACTTGTCCTCATTCTAGTAAGAGGTGCAGTCCGACCAAGTACATCTATACATTTATTTTCACCCCTTTAATTCTTCATTCCTCATCTTAAAGCCAAAGGAATTTAAACATAGAAGCGGAGAGGAACATCAGTAAGTCCCTGTGTGGTAAAAATCTGAACAGATGATGATGATTAACTTGCACACAAAACTAGTACAAGGCAAAGATTTTTTTCAAACAGTTAAAAGCCATACAATGAAGCCCGATAGTAGTTAACAAATCAAAAGAAGATTCAAGCTGATAAGATTTTGATTCATCACTAGTAGGTAGATGTGCTATTTGCAGAAATCTTTCATGTCATTTGCTTAGAGGGACTGTTTAAAGTTTTCTTTGTTTTTCCTTTGCACCATTTTTTTTTTAACAATAGCTGCTATTTGTTCTGAAGTAAAAAACAGCATATCAAAGAAAACTGGAACCAAGTATTAGCTGAAATTTCTTTTATGTAAAGGAAAAGTAGCATGATAGATAAAAGCTTCATTCAGAGAATTTATTTCTAAGGTTTATCAAAGGTTGAATAGATGTGTGCATATTAGAAGAGTGTCTTTAACCCATATGTATATGTATATACAGTTCCTATTGAATTAGAAATTAATAGCCAAAAATAGAAGTATTTTGAAAATGGGAATCCTGATAATTTCAGAAGCACTAAAACAATAAGTTAACGATATTAAATGTTCTTCTTATACTCGCTAGTGTTCAGCTAAATTATCAAAGAGCAGAAGTATGTCTTAAGCCAAGCTCTAGTTAGAGAGGATCTTCCCACAGTTGTCAAGGTGTTGTCTTCATGATCAAGAATTTGAATACTCTAACAAGCTGTCCTCCCCAAAGTTTCAGGAGACAGAAATCCTACAGTAAAATTGCTCCAGCTCAAGAAAGCTGGTTTTTACAGATTGCAAATCTTATAAGACTGCCCATGATTAGGAAATGCCAAGACTTGGATAGCTCTAGGTCTTACTGATTCACATCCCTTTTCCTAGAATTTAGACACACATAAAATTGTCATGTGGATTGTGGTACAGAATTATTGTCCATAAAGTATCCAGGCCTAAGGCAGTTTACCAGGAATTCAGAAAGGTTCTCCAATATATTCCATTAATTTATCCAGGCTGGTCTGAATTGCATCCAATTGCTCTACTGCCATCAACTACCTGTTGTATGCAGTGAGAGGAATATGCACTAGCAAAAATGGCTATGATTTCATGTTTGTGCAATTTTCTGTGCAAGTGAATTCATTCTCATAAACATAGGTTTTCCCACTTGTACATTTTGGGAACCTGTTCAATGAATTTCATAGAAGAGAATCATCTTCACTGCTTAAACTTTTCAAAAAGAACCACAGGGAATTAATGAAACATGCAGAACACAAGATAAAAATAACATCAAATATTTTATAAGGAATGACTTCTGCTGGGGAATATTAATGTGTCTGGAAATAATTTTTCTCCTGAAATCACCATGGCCTGTCCCTACTAAATGAACAGATCCCAAGAGGATACTAACAAAAGTTCCAGATTACTGCAATGCTATTAAATCCTACAACAGTTGACATAGGTTCCACACACAGAAATACATTGCTATAAAACTCTCTAGTATAGAATAGAGACTGAAAAAGAGATAATTGCTGGGGAAAATAAAAAAAAAAAACAAACTTTAAATAACATAATGCTTATTGCAGTCTTGTATTGCACAATACTAATCAAAAAGCAAATTGCGCTTAACTGATTTCATAGAATCATAGAATAGTTAGGGTTGGAAAGGACCTTACGATCATCTAGTGCCAACCCCCTTGCCATGGACAGGGATATCTCACATTAAACCATGTCATGCAAGGTTCTGTCTAACCTGGCCTTGAACACTGCCAGGGATGCAGCATTCACAACTTCCTTGGGCAACCCATTACAGTGCCTCACCACCATAACAGTAAAGAACTTTCTCCTTATATCCAATCTAAACTTCCCCTGTTTAAGTTTTAAGCTGGTTCAATTTGTGCCAGTTTTAACCTATTACCCCTTGTCCTATCACTACAGTCCCCAGTGAAGAGTCCCTCCCCAGCATCCCTATAGGCCCCCTTCAGATACTGGAAGGCTGCTAGGAGGTCTCCACGCAGCCTTCTCTTCTCCAGGCTGAACAGCCCCAACTTTCTCAGCCTGTTTTCATATGGGAGGTGCTCCAGTGCCCTGATCATCCTCGTGGCCCTCCTCTGGACTTGTTCCAACAGCTCCATGTCTTTTTTATGTTGAGGACACCAGAACTGCACACAACACTTCAGGTGAGGTCTCACAAGAGCAGAGTAGAGGGGCAGGATCACCTCCTTTGACCTGCTGGTCACGCTGCTTTTGATGCAGCCCAGGATACGGTTGGCTTTCTGGGCTGCAAGCGCACACTGAAGCCGGCTCATGTTAAGTTTCTCATCGACCAACACCCCCAAGTCCTTCTCTGCAGGGCTGCTCTGAATCTCTTCTCTGCCCAGCCTGTAGCTGTGCCTGGGATTGCTCCGACCCAGGTGTAGGACCTTGCACTTGGCATGGTTAAACTTCATGAGGTTGGCATCAGCCCACCCCACAAGCATGTTAAGGTCCCTCTGGATGGCATTCCTTCCCTCCAGTGTATCAACCGAACCACACAGCTTGGTGTCATCGGCAAACTTGCTGAGGGCACACTCAATCCCACTGTCCATGTCAGCTACAAAGATGTTGAAGAAGACCGGTCCCAACACTGACCCCTGAGGGACACCACTCGTTACTGGTCTCCTGCCAGACATTGAGCCACTGACCACAACTCTTTGCGAGCGGCCATCCAGCCAGTTCTTTATCCACTGAGTTGTCCATCCATCAAATCAATGTCTCTCCAATTTAGAGACAAGGATGTCATGTGGGACAGTGTCGAATGCTTTACACAAGTCCAGGTAGATTACATCAACTGCTCTATTCTATTTCCTTCGATAGGAGAGTCCCAAAAAGTAATTGCTCTTCTGAAAAGTAGCAACTATTTTCTACACTCAATTTCCATTCAAACCATGCAGATGAAACAAAGAATTGCGTTTTTTAAAATTTACACATGTAACTAAGATTAAATTTCCTAGGGTTGCTGAATTATACTTAAACAAAGTAGAACCATGTTAAGCCAAGTTCAGTTCTATGTTAGAACTAAAATTCTAGTAATGTACTAAATATAATACTTTCGTTTGTTGGGTTTTTTTTTGCAATTAGTCTGCAGCATAAGGGTCTTCTGCATTTGCCACATTTTTTAGCATATTATTTCTTCCTTCCCCCCATCATCCAAAAATAGATGATGAATTTATGTAAAACCAATAATCTGACTTGTGATTCACAGAGGCAAAAAAGTTCTTTTGAACCTAAGGAGGAATAAACTGTCTTACAATAGGAAAATAAGCCAACATATTTGATATAAGCTATTTACTAGTATCTTTAATTCTTAAATAATAATACAAAATTCAAAAAAATCTGTGTACTTTTATAATCTGTCCCTTTCTAGATTTCTCCTAACTACCTAGACCACCTTTCTTTACATATATGTTTGCCCCAATATAACTGTTAAAATGATGTAAGATGTACCTATCAATGCTTTCTTGCCTTTATATGCCTTTTTATGCCTTTTTACTACGTAAAGCTGCTATAATAACGCTCATTAAGTTGAAAACTAAACACAATCTTTGAGGACTTAAAATAAAAACCATAAATGACAGATAAACCAAGAAATTCCAAATGACAAAGCTCCTATTAAACAGATATATGTGGTGTTTATGCAAGGATTTTTTTAAGGCTTATATTGGTAAGCCTGTATGAACAGCCTTCAAAGCAAATTTTACCAGATCAGTATTCACAAGGGAAAAATGAGATAGGCAATATCAACTGATATGGTATGATTCAGTCCTAGATCTCTGCTCCTTTTCATAAATTTCTCAATATAAAATTATTTCTTTCACATCTACAGATTGCCATTTCATTCTCCTGACTTAAATACAACCAGAATTTTCCCAGTTGTCCTAAAATATCCTTTGTTTATGCTCTTGACATGGAGCTGGTGACATTATTTTTACAGTGACAATTTAGACTCCTTTGAGAGCACATGTGAATAATTGTGATAGGCACTGATTGTAATCTTTTGAAAGCCCTGCATAAGCAGTGCAAGAACAGGGAAAACTGTGATGATAGATATTTATACTGTATCAGGATTTTAATGCTGCATTCAGAGTGTAAGTGGACACCATGATGTTAAGACTTCTTTAGAACTTTTAACCTTCTTCAATATAAAAATTAAGAGCTTGAGAAATCAGAGCCACTGTTTCCCTGATTAGAATGAGGTTAAGAAAAGGGCATCTCAAAGAAAGAAACATGACTGTATACATGTTAATTGATATATGTGCATGTGTAGTTCTGTAATGAGGCCAGATGTCAATCCCAGCAGAGAACACAAGTAACAAATAATTCTGGTAATATATTTTTTTAGCTAGTTTTCAGCTAAAACCCTTTTTTGTTCTTTCATCAGTTTAACTACATTTTTTGGTGTGGGTTTTATTTGGTTGGGGAGGTGTTTGTTTTTTCGTGGAGCGTGTGGTGGGCTGGGTTTTTTTTAAGTAAAAGGCTTAGTTACTATCTCTTGTTTTGGTCAGTGGAAGACTTATCTTTACACTACTGAGAAAAGGCATTTTTACCAGACTTTCAAGCCATATTAGTAAGAAAAAAGACATGAGCGAAGTAGTCAGAGCATCACAGTTTAACTACAAATTGCATGAATAACCCAGTGGGAGGGGTGAGGGAAGTATTTGCATTGGAAGTGTCACCAGGAGCTCCACGCTACATGCTTAATAGTAGAAGAAACTATAAACAATTAATTGTGCCCTCTTCAGCTTCTCTATGATTTCCCCTTAGTCTTCCCCCATCCAGGCTGAACAATGTTATTCCTTTTCTAACACTGTTCTCACTTAAACTAATTTCAGATTATAATATGTTAAAAAGGCATCCCTAAACTCATGGAAAAAAAATCTTTATGTTATAAGCATTACAACATTCTGTAGAATAAAATACAATTCTTTTACATTTTGGATAGGACTGTTTACAGGAAAAACGAAAAAGCTTTCACATTACAGACATTTGAAATGAACAGTAGCTTGGTTGTAGTAGAAAAAACCCTGCCCTGTTACCATTCAAGAGCTGCACAACTCAAGACACCTTTCCCCATGCTATCTTGCAAACGGTACCTTCAACAGAAAGTGCTCTAGGTCTTCTATTTCAAATCTAAACCTCCTGAGCATTTGTCTGCAAAGAAAGCCGCATGCAATTTGGCATAGTCTAAGAGACTTGGCATGTTTCATTCCTATAAGTTATAAAAACCACGAGTTACTGGTATCCCAGTCCATCCTGCCTGGGTGCAACTTTCCACATAATCACATTTATAAAATCTGTGGGTTTGGAGTAAAAATTATAAGAGTGGTATGAACCAAGCAGTACTTTTTCAGCATAGGGTGGAGAGAGGGAAAAATCTCAGCAATCTTCAAGCTTATATGTTGTCACTATAGGCTAATCAGAGCTGTCCTTGGGTATATTTCTTGGTTCTGCACTGTATTTTGAAGGTGTCTGAGCCCATCTCTTCGTACTCTTTTGTAAACTCTCTCTTTTTTCTGTCACATAGCATGCTGAGTCTTGAGTACATGGATCAGTTTGGATCTGTGCTACTAATTCTAAATATCAGGATTGTTACAGACTTGAATAGAAGACCAATCTAGCTTTTTTTATTCCATATGTTTCAGTTCAGATTAGAATAAAATAGGTTAGAAGAAAATAAAATAGTATGTGTTATAAAATGGAGGTAGCATCTATACACATTTTTACAAGGTCTTCTTTGTGGGGATTTAAAATTTATGATGAGATTTCTGTTTGTGTGAGATGAAATAGTACTATTTACTGAAAAACACATGAATAATTGAGAATTTCACAGGCAGCACTCTCAGTACTAATTTATATTTTACTTTCCCCTCACTAACTAGATATGGTTAAGAAGATTCCTACTAAATGTCATTTCAGTTCAGTTTGAAAAAAAGTTTAAAGTTACGATTTGAAAAGCAATCAAGAAACTATACAGTCGCTTTCCACCAAAACTCAGCTGAAAATGGGTCTCTTGATCCTTTCAGCTCTTTTGAAGAACTGAATCTGAAATAAATGTGGATGCTATATGAACACTTACAATGAGCCCTAGGATGAAAGGGTTTTAAAAAAATCAATGACTTCAATAGAATTCTGAGATGGGGCAGCTGCATCGCACAAGGCCTTTCTATATTGATACATTTCTGTTCTTTGAGTAATGATGTAAGAACTTTCTTGAACTGCTGTACTTTACAGACATCATTATAGATGACTACCACTCCTTTTTCTTCATATAATTTTACCCTAAGAGGAAGGTAATTGTCCTTCCCCTATATTCAAGCACGATAAACACGCTCTGACTCAGCTCTACACAATTGTGTGAAAAATAACATAGGTCTTCATGAGTATTTCTATCTTAAGCTTAAGCAGAAAACATTGCCTTTTAGCTTTTTAATCTTCTTCATTAATCCATTTTTAATTTGTTCACAATTACAGTATCTAGCTGTAGGAATGCAGCATTTCAGAAAGAGATTTAAAAACATACAAACATCATTCACATAGGCTTGAAGACCAGCCAGGACAGATATTTTGTCAAAACCCCAGTCCATTTTATCTTCTCTGTCAAATAGTCTTTCTTGCTTTTTTTCAATTGTTTAAAGCATTTATTTTCTTTATCTGTCACTGAATTTATAACCACTATAAAAGAAAATGTATCTGGTTTCCTTTCCAATGAGTTAGATTCTTTTTTTTCCACAATACAAACAGAGACTTACATGATTATGAAATAGAGATGGCTATCCACATGGTAGAGAAGATGAGCTAATTTTATACAAGAACTATTCCTGAACTGCTGTTCCAAAATAGACATCTGATCCAATAACTGTGATAAACTGATGTAATTCAATCTGGCTATCTTCTGTTGCTCTATCTTCTTACATGTACCTCCAGCTGGCGCACACATTTTCTTCAACAAGCATTCCACTAGTTACATGAAAATTACAAGACACAAACATAGTAATTTTCCAAGGATTCTTATCGGGAAGCTTACTGATAATCCCATATGGGAGGTAAAAGAGAAATCTTTCCACTTGCAAAGAAAGATCAGGTTACACAATAATAAAAAGCAATGTATTTTGATCACCAAACAACTATCATTTTCTGCTCCTGCATGTTCACGGTGATCAAGAGTCAGTAACTTGGACTGACACAAGAAAAACAATCATCGTTTTTTTTTCAGTTTTTTGAACAGATACAAATCCATCAGGATATAAATCTGTACAAGATATCCCCTGTAATCTTGGGTTACAACTTCTTCCTTCAAACTCTCATACAAAATCCTAAGTCTAGATTCTCTGTATCCTGTTGACTGAACAAAAGACATTAAGCACAAACATTTAGTCTTCTTTTCAGCTTCTTGTCACTAAAAACTTATCACACACGGGGACCAGTACTACTGATCTCCTGTGAAAGTTACTAGGTCTGTCGCTGCAAGTAAAGCAGGTAGAACTAGGCACACTGTAATGACGTCCATCCTCCGGAGAACCTGGGAGAACTCCAGCTGGGTTCATGCTCAAGAAATAGCCATAGGATATGACTACTAAGTGAAACGGTTCCTCGGTATTTATATGAGCATTTAAATAAACTGTTGACCTCTTCCAGAGTTGTTTCAATATCACAGTAGTAATCTGGATGGTAAATCCCCACTTCTCCATAACAGGTATAAAAATAAGGGTACTTAAACACTGATGTTCCAGAATGAGATATCCAACGCTACAAGCCAGCATCGGTACAATTAATGAAGTGCATGGAAACTTGATTAAAAATCTATTTCTATTAAAAATTACCATTACAATATCTGATTTCATTTAATTCAAAATATCTGCAGAAATATATTACCTTTGATTCATTTTCATAATTCATTTAGAAAAATAAAACCCCAACCATGTTGAAAGCAAGTAATTGCTCTTATTTCATTGACATTCTGGAAACTTTTCCTAAGGAAATTCGGTGTTCTGATACTTTAGATTCCTTTCCCTTTGCAGTGACTTTTATCTTTTTACTTCCTTTCCATTGTAAACACACTGAAAATCATTTTACCATCACAGACAACTATCCTACCTTTTAAAAAAACACTTAACCATTGGTCATAAGCTTTCTTTAAATTTCTCTAAACCAAATTAATTTCTGATAAACAGAACTTTAAGAACAAAACGAACTGGAATGAACAGAAGTTAACCTGAACTACTAAAACCAGAATTCAAACTAGACTTCAACATCCTAAAAGTTCACCTGTGTCAACGACTGTTTCTTTAGCTGCAGTCAATTTTTTTTTTAAGTCAGTTTGTAAATTTTTTGGTTTTATTAGTTCTCATACAGTTCAGGGGTATGTGAATCAGGGAACTGAGATGTCAAATATATTAATCTCTTTTTTTGTTACAAACAATACTAAGATATACCAGCCTTTCCCATTCCTTGGATAACAGGATGCTATTGAACATTACACTGCAGTGTGAATTTACAGGATACTCTGGGTTTAACCTCAATATTTACATAAGGAGATAAAGTGACAAGTTATAAATCCATAACCTGTTGTCCATTTCAGCAAGCCCTAGCAGTGGTCTCACAGGGACTAACATCCCAAGTGTGGGAAACCAATTTACACTTATTCCACAGGAATGTCCTTTGAAAGAAATTCATATGGCATAATGAGCTATAAATTAAAATTCTACCTTATTGTGTACTACGTTCTTCACACACACACAAAACCCTCTTCTGTTTAATTAAAAGTCCACTTTCTTATCTCCCAAGAAATGTGTGACTCCACAATTTTACTTTATACTATGAAATATTTTAATACTTAAAATTTAGTTTTTTTCAAAATCATTTTTAAAAGATATGAAAAAAGACTTAAAGAAGGACTATTACCATACTGTCTCCAATCTACATTAGGAGGCAAATTCACCCACAGAATGAAGTTGTTGAGTTCATTTAAGTAAGATGGCAGTGCATGGAAACCTTTTTGGTTGTACCATACCTGGAAAAGAGAAGAGAAATTATTAATCAAAACGTAGTTGAATCTGTATGCCTAATTTGAAGTGTCCCATACGTTTGAGAATTTCATAAAGATGCCTAATTCTCCTGTTATGACACCTATTTAAAGGTGAAAGTTAACTAGGTAAAACAGAAGCAGTTAATTTGTACAGGTTGGACACTGTTGGAGCTGTGCACCTATGTTAATTATTAAATTGAGATTCTCTGATTTAATGGAACACTCTGTCCCTTTCTTTACACATATTTAGTCAAACAACTAGAGGAAAAACAAATCAAAAGGAACATTTTCCAATTCAATTGAAAATACAAAAAGATGAGTAAAACTCGTATTTACAAGCAGAGAACACCATTGAAATTTCAAAAAGACATATCTAAATAATACCTGCAAGTGACACATAGCATAAAATATCTAGGAACGGAATATCCTAGAATGTGGGGAAAAAAAGAAACAAGGAGGCGCTGGTTACAAATATTCCATAAAAGACAAATCTGCATCTCCACCTTCAACAAACAATCAGTGATTTATTAGGCACAGATGATATCAATATAGACAAACTTTAATGCAGACAAGGCAAGCCACTCTTTCTGTGGAGCGGAAGGAAGCAACTATCATGTAACATATAATTTCTCCACAAATCATGAAGAATCACCCCAAGCTGATAAATATACCCAAATTCACACTTCTGAGTGCTAGAAGAATCATTGCTGAGAGACTGCTATGTCCCTAAACTGAAAATACTGAGGGCTGAGGTTTGAGTTTTGCTTTGCCTTTGAAAATCGATTCCATGCCTATGCCTTATTACTGTTAATCACAGTGCCTTTGAACCTGCACTATCCGTAATGAAAACTAGGTCAAATTATTATGTATGTTTGTTTTCAGTTTTAGTGACATGTTTAAAATCATCTTTGATTGCTATCCTTTCCTCACTCTAAAGCAGCCTTTCATCTCCCTCTTTTTTATATACAGTTGAATGTCTCTTAACCTTTTCCTATTTGATATGAGTTATTTGCTAATCTGCATTTTATATATCTGAAAATGATGGTTGGCAATTCTAACTTTGTGTCTGGATGCTGATTCATACTGCAAAGTGCACAAGGTTTAATATGTGTCTTTCTTGCCTTAACGTCCTTCTAGGATTTCAGTTTCCTTAGATCCTTTGCAAAATTACCATATACACAGTTACATTTGCAAATTTCCCTGAAGATTCTTTTCTCATCACTCTGATGCTGTTCTCTTCTAGAGCTCTTCCATACATATATGTGCCTTTTCTTAATACTGGTGTAAACTTCCAGGCTGGGGGTGGTGTGCATTTATTTTATTTTATTTTATTTTATTTTATTTTATTTTATTTTATTTTATTTTATTTTATTTATTTGCTTGCAGATCATTCTGTTTTTTCTTTCTAGTATCCAGCTACAATCCTTACCTGGACACTAGTTCCAGACTTTGACCATTTTTCCTGCTGCATTTTACTACATATTTCCCAGCGCAGGTTGTCCAATCTTCAGTTCTATTTCCCTGTCTTAATGATTGTTTTGTTCTGATTTGTTTTCCTGACTACCTACTTGTTTGGATCTCTACATTGTACTCTATTGTGAGGCACGGTTTACCACAATCTAATTGCACATTCAGTTTCCTCCCATCTATTCTATATCATGCTTTCATATTCCACTCTGAGCTCCATGTAATTTCTTCCATGACTCTCACCCTTTAATCTTCTTTGCTGTAAGCTCTGTTAGTCATTTTTAAATTAGCAGCTTTGGTCTACCACTGCTCTTGCTTGCTTTCACATTAGCTACTCTTCTTTATGTGGTCTTCACATCTGCTTGAAATCTCAACAGCATCTTATATCACCACATTTAAAGAAAAAAGAACAAATCCCAAACTCTTTCCCCCTTTGCAAATTCATATGCAACTCCTTTGTTCTCCTCCAGTTCAGTTCCAACAAATTCCTACACAACCTAGATATCCCATTCTTTAATCAACAAGAGTTCTTTGAAATAAAGAAGTGAAATGGAACCTAAATGTCCTGAGGAAAACTGCAAATCTGGATTTCCTGTGTAAATAGCAACCAGAGAAAAGAAACATAAACAAGTGATCAAGAGTAGATACTCTTTTTTATACCCTCATACAACCATTTCTTACTCTATCTTTTTAAAAAACATTTGTGCTGAATAGAAAGTTATACATACATAATGAAACTCCACTGCGATTGTATTCATTGTATTGAAAAAAAAAAGCAATTAAGAAAACAATAAAGCCAAATTCTGACGGCATATCCTCATTCAACTGAAGCAAGGAAAGGTCTCAAGTATTCACAGAACATATTATAAATGCAATAATGTGACCAATATTCAAATGAAAATATAAAACTACAATAAAGCATTGTGTGTAACAATACATTTCAATATCCAGCATATTAATTAGATTTTTTTCCTTTAAGCTGCATTACGCAACTGAATCAAGCGCCCAGGAAATGACCAAATTGAAGCTGAATATTGAATAGCTTGTCTGGCAAAAGAGGCATTTGATGTCATTCACTTTAACAGAAAACAAATTTAAGGGATTTTTCCTAAAATCTTGTGGCTTATTCTAAATTGATTGCAAAAGTACAATGAAAAAAGAAAAAAAGAAAAATATTAGTTCCAGCTGAAATATCTTTCATATTTCTTGTGTGCCACACAGATAATTATTTACAGAGGGAAGATATAATGAAAAAATATTTAGATTAAGATGACAAATTTTTATTTTTTCTTCACTGTTTTATTTTCTATCTATGGTTGATAAAATTACTTCCCCAGGAAAACACGACCTCAAACCAAATTAAATATAAATTCTGTAAAGACATGTTTTCCATTATTGCATAACATTTATACTTACTGCTAATATTCCATAATAATGCTAGACTAACATTCTGACTAATCTATGGTCAATAAAAAAAAGGATGAGGAGGGGCAGAGAAATCACTAAGCATTGCTAGTCCAGATTCAAGACGGGGAGACAGGGACAAGAGGTATTAGGCTGGAGGGAAGTAACTTCCTCTGCATACTTAAACTTTACTTTACAGTAAAGTGTCAAATCCCAACTTTTAAGATTGAAAAAATGCACACTTCAGAATGCCATATAAATGTAATAAATTGCCTTTCGATGATATTTCAAATTGCCACATGTTCTTCCTATATTTAATAATGGTATAAATAATAGCAACTATGACATCATAATGGAACAGTTTTTGCTGATATTTTCAAAGAAAACCAAAGAATACACAGTCATGAAGACACAAAAAATTGAGGAGTTGTGCTTCTGCCACATGGCAGTGCTAATCAATGAGAGTCAATAGTCAATGGTTTTAATCAACCACATTTAGAATCATAGAACAGTTAGGGTTGGAAAGGACCTTAAGATCGTGTCGTTCCAACCACCTGGACATGGGCAGGGACACCACACACTAAAACATCTCACCCAAGGCTCTGTCCAGCATGGCCTTGAACACTGCCAGGGATGGAGCATTCACAACCTCCCTGGGCAACCCATTCCAGTGCCTCACCACCCTTACAGTAAAGAACTTCTTCCTTATATCCAACCTAAACTTCCCCTGTTTAAGTTTTAACCCATTACCCCTTGTCCTGTCACTACAGTCCCTAATGAAGAGTCCCTCCCCAGCATCCTTATAGGCCCCCTTCAGATACTAGAAGGCTGCTATGAGGTCTCCATGCAGCCTTCTCTTCTCCAGGCTGAACAGTCCCAACTATCTTCATACAGGAGGTGCTCCAGTCCCCTGATCATCCTCGTGGCCCTCCTCTGGACTTGTTCCAACAGTTCCACGTCCTTTTTATGTTGAGGACACCAGAACTGTACACAATACTCCAAGTTGGGTCTCACGAGATCAGAGTAGAGGGGCAGGATCACCTCCTTTGACCTGCTGGTCACACTCCTTCTGATGCAGCCCAGGATACGGTTGGCTTTCTGGGCTGCAAGCGCACACTGCTGGCTCATGTTAAGTTTCTCATCAACCAGCACCCCCAAGTCCTTCTCCTCAGGGCTGCTCTGAATCTCTTCTCTGCCCAGCCTGTAGCTGTAAATTTGTCATGTGGTAGGCATATTTTCTCTTGTGCAGGCACAGATGCACATTTTCTGTGTACATGCATATAGCCTGTATGGGGTATATACAGTATGGTATGATTAAGTAAAGTAGAACAGGTATTTGAATAGGTATCTTAAATTTGAACGGATCACTTTTTGAGTGGAGGAGAATAACGCACAAAGGCTCGGAAACTTCTGAAAGTGAAATGAATCATACAGGAAGTCTCTTCAAATGCAAATTTTTCCTTTTCTTTCATACCAGGCTATGTAAATGGTACATTCACTGTCTCATGAACAAGCCTGAAAGGTCAAAGTAAAAGTCTAGTCATTAATTACTGAAAGGTTAATGCAATAATTTGACATTGCATCAGTTGAAAGCCACTTCCAGGAGGTATTTTAGATAACACAGTGCCCTTTATAAATCTACTCCACTATTTTCTTTGCATCTGAAATATGAAGTTTACTCACTAACAGTATAACTATAACTTACCCCGGTGCTGATGGCAGGTGGAGCTCTATGCCAAAGACATTTAAAATGAAAGGACCCTGACAAAAACTACAGTGCGAGCATGTCAAAACAAGAGTCTAAAATGATTAAAGATATATAGGACAAAAACAGCAGCCAGAAAACACATCTTGCTGCAGTCCTCTAGGACTTCGAGTTCCTAATGAAGGACTGATGGAACTGGAGTTTAAAGCTATAAGAAATCTGGGGGTAGAAGGGTCACAAGTGACCAAAATTAAAATATATATAAGGTATGGTGTGTATATGAGATTTTTTAAAAAACTACATGGAATAGGCATTGGAAACCGACTGTGATTTTGTGAAAATAAACATGAAATTATATTTGATTGGAAAATATCTGTATGATATTTTAATACATAGTTGTTTTAACACTTTATCCCCAGATGGATTTGGAGACAGAGCTGATTTACACTGTTCCTTCTCTTCTTCTATAAAAGAAAATAAAATCTAGTTTCTATACCCCTCCAATACAATTTCAGGCAGAAGCACCTCTCCTTCATATTCTAACCTGGAATATGGAAATTCCACAGTTTTCTCTTAACAAATCTGTTTTACTTCAAATAAAATGCTAGAGAACACTCAATGATATTCTTAAATACTCCACCTAGACTGCTGTTCCTTTACACACTACTATTCTACATTTGAATGGATGTCAAAAGAACATTTCAAAGCATCCCCAAGGAAAATAGAATCCCCTGCACTTATAATTGCCTCTTAGGCTCTAGGTCACATCGCAAGTTATTACAGTACGGATATACTGTATCTTTGCAGTGTATAACAAAAGGTCTCAAGGAAAAGTTCTTTATTTTGATTGCACTTAAAATAATCCTGTTCCTGACTTCAAAGGTAGCTCCAGACAGAAAACAATGGCTCTATGCAACATTGCAAGACTGTACAAGTTGCTGTCAAAGAGATTCAGATTTCACAACATGACTAATTTCAACAAGGCACACTTCTGTTTCTCTAGGATAAAAATGGAAAGTTACTCTTATTTGACAAGGGGATTATAAAAACAGGGTAGCATATTTGTTATGCAGAAGCAACTAGCCCTGGAAGCTAAATCTTTACTTTGGGGCAAGAGAGGAAAGTATTCCTTGCAGGAATGTAACAAGCATCAATAATTACTAATTTTTTATAAGTTCAATGAGCTTTTGTCAATTCTGACGACTTCTTGTAAGAAAAAAAAAGGAATATCTAGGCTGACTACCTATAAAAAAAAAGCTTGATGGGTAAGATCTGTTAGACTCTGAAATGAGTTCACAGGAAAAAACAAAAGTGGTATCATCTGATTCACTTTAAACTGCTTCTCAGAACATCAGACAATACTTCAAGAACTATGAACAGAGAAGTGAACTAGAATAGACAGAGGAGTTTTCTCCAACTTCTAAGTGAAGGGATTTTATGTAATGATTTATTATTTGCTCAGTGTTGTGAAGCCTGAAGCTTGAATCAGTAAGCAATACATACATACACATGAACAGACATACATGCAACTCTCACCTTAACCATATACTTTGATTTGGTGTTGTTCAATTTTTTATCTTGAAGTTCAAATGCTCTTCTCCTTCCAAAAGACCAACCACCATATCTGGTAATAGAAATTAAAGTAATAACAAGTTATCTGCCTTAAGATTTACAGTCTTTTCTTGCAATGATAAAGTGGGAATATCTACACTAATGCTTTATTTTTCAACTGAAAGTAAAACTTCACTGGTCACAAAACCTTCCATGTTAAGGAAAAACAGGACCTCAATATATTCTTGAATAAGGTAAATAGTATTGATCTTTTCTGGCAAAGGAATTCCCTCGGATAAGAATTTTTACTTTGAAAACTGAAATCCAAGCAGCAGGAAGATTTGTGAGCAAGTGAGGTATTACTGACTTTCAGAAACATCTTAAACAGCTTGCCATCTTCCCATTTCGATGTGGCATCCCTGGAGACATTCAAGACAAAGCTGGATGTGGTTCTGACCTGATCTAGTTGAAGATGTCCCTGCTCATTGCAGAAGGGTTGGACTAGATGACCTTTGAAGGTCCCTTCCAACCTAAACTAGTTTATGATTCTGTGATATTCTAGCTCAAATCTTTCATTCTAAGATGTTTGCCACTATTTTTTTTTTCAAATCATGCACTTTTTCTGGCTAACCCTTCCTTCTCCTTGATAAAATCATACTTGGTCTACTATTTCCACTTGTGTCAAAGGCAGTGATAGAGCTGCAAAGGCATCTAGAGTAAAACTCAAAATACAGCAGATAGATAACCTCTGTGGCTGGTATCACAGAGTATGAAGTCTTGCCAGGGGTATACCAGCCCTTTTTACTTTGAAGAAGTGATTACATGGAGCATGTCCACTTCTATTTGAGTCCCTAAGGAATGGAAACTATATTGTTTATCTAATTTGTATGTGCATATAATTTTCTTTCTCGAAGATGCTGAAATAACTCACTGTGTGGCAAGAAGACAGTCAGGGCATGCCTAAAGGCAATTAGCATGCAACTGCTGGAGTAAGCTCTGAAAATGACCATGGATGGGGTTCCATGTTACCTTAGCCTGACTGTATGTCTTGATAACAACCAACAGATAAAGCTAATTACCCCTTATAGTCTCAGTGACATAGGTCTATGCTTTGGATCAGGAAGGATTTATCAGGAGGATAAATAAAGATTAGGTATTTTAAGGTTACCTTGCTCTGTTGGAAGGTCTCACTAAATACTCTTCTACAAGAAACCCTGACAGATTATACAAAATATGTCCTTTCTTATTCTTCACATATGGAACAGAGGTATTGAAACTTGGACACATCTGAAAAACAGCAAAAGCACTCCTAAATAGCAGTGGCACTACATTTAGCCATCTTTTTTGAATTTTGCTTAGATTTTACAGCATTGTTTTTCAACTTAGTTTGCCTTTCTTAGCTTTCATAACTTTTCAATAGATTATGTATGGTTTTATATGGCATCTCAAATAATTGCAAATGTTATCTACATATTAGAACCACCTATGATTTCTCTTGCAATCCTGCCAGTCAGTTTTGTTCTGAAAACATCAACAATTGTATGTATGCTTATAAACATTTGCAGCAATGAAAAAGGCAAGACTGCTATTCAGTTGTGCCTAAGAATAAATACAAAAAAAAGCACCAGATGTATATGAGATGAAACCAAAATTCTAATTAAAGCAATATGCTTCTAAAAATTTAATTGATGGACTGCAGTGAAAAAGAAAGGGTTTTTTTTAATGATTCAGTGGGGTATTCTCACAACCAAAGAAAAGGAGACAGATATTATGATCTGGTATCTCAAAAGCCTTATAGATTATGCATATCAATCAGAAAATTTTAATCCTTATTTGACATCTCAACCCCACACAAATTAAAATTCATTCTCGGAGATTCTGAAGATACATAACTCAGATACAGGTTCTGCCTCCACTGTCAAGTGACTTCTTTCCTTTGAGTTTTCATGGTTAATGGGCTTCTCCCTGTGTGAGTTCCCATTTCCATTTTGTTTAAGCTTCTCAAGTTTAAGTATACTTCTGAGTAGTATTAGAGGCAAATCTGTTCCTTGCCCAAGCAGAGTAAAAGATTCATTTCCTCTTTCTACTTTTCCCAAAAATGTATTCCTATATTTCAGATGCAACTCTTAGACTAAATATGTATATATTTATGAAGGAGAGAACTTATTTGATAGAATGATCCTATCCAAGGTGATGTATTTCTCCCTTCAGACAGTTTCACATTCTTGTTTATTACTCAGCCTCAGAGTAAGTCAGCAAGAAAACTCAACAGTCAAGGCTGTCAGAAATCCATTACCTTTTTCAAAATTCCTTTTTTCCTCAAAGGTTGTTTTATTTTCATATAGGCAATCCTAATCAAAATCAAGCGACATCAATTAAATCTCATTCATATGTAGATTCCCTGGTAGCTTCTATCAGGCAGGATCACTTGAGCTTCCCTTCTGAAAGCAACTAGTTTTCCAGCTATTATGGAAGTACTATGTTTTAAACTTGTTTTCCAGGAGGATTTTTTGGCAACCAAGGTTCTATAACATCTTTGAAGCAATGCTGTGTTTGCTGAGATTAGTTCAGCCATCTCTGATTTCTGTTATTTCAAATCAATCTATAGCCATTTCTAGTGTGTATACACACACACACATAAGTACATAAAAATTGGGCAAGATTTCCATGAAGACTTCACAGCATGTAGACTAAACATTAAATGAAACAGAAGGAAATCTCCAGTCATAACAAAGCCAGTGCTCTGAGGGTTTGTTTCCTCATGCTTTTCTTTAGTCCTTCAAAAAGAAAAGTCAAGTTTTTTATATGTAATATACGCATATCTGATTTTTACATGCATAAGTAAATATGAAATAACATACCTGTTGTTCAGCCATACATCCACATGAATCCTGGGGTGACATAGATTCCATCTGCCAACATGAACTATTTTTTCTAAGGGGAATAAACATAACAATGGGAATAAACATAACAATAGGAACAAACATTAAATAAAAGGAATGTATTACTTAACAGAAGAAATCCAAAGTGTAAAAGCAGATCTGGCATCTTAACATTTTCTTTCAAAAAAGCATTTCATCAAAACAGCAGCTGTGTCTAAAGCTATCTCAATTTTACTCATTTGTACCAAAGTGGTTTCACTAAAAATATTTATAAAAATAAAGCAGCAAACAAGCTGCATGTTTTGTGTTTGCAGCAATAAGTAATTCATGGCCACCACTCTGCATTCCTGAATTTGGATATCTGGAATGCTTCCTAACAAATATTGCAATTATTGTCTAACATTCATTCATATGGACACAAGACTTGATCAAAATCCTCCTGAAATTAATTAGAAATTAACATTTAAGGGATTTGGATCACAACTTTAATAATGAAACCTGCTTTGCCTAGATGCCAGCTCCTTCAACAGAACAGATTTGTCATTAACCTCATGCTGCCAAGAAAAGCTCATCCATGTTTCACAGAAATATTGAATTTACAATATTTACAATTCACAATTAAGGAATTGTTATAGTTGTTACAATTACCCTTGTTTTGAATGCATGCATGTGTTGTCCCAGTCAAAAAAATATCTCAGTAGATTCTGGGTAAGGTTCCCTAGATCATCTTCAGTACTGTCCAAAGTGGCCACGATGAGGAAAGGGCGAAGGAGGAAAGAAAAAAAACCAAAACTTAAAACCTCCACATTAATGTCTAGTTCTATTAGCTTTCAGGCTCAAGATCATACATGTTTACCAAGAAATTAAAGAACTATAAAATCCACATATAGGAAACATATCAAAACAGCAAACTGAACTCATTTCAATGACTATATGTGAACACGTTAAGAAATCAGATACAATTATGTTTAAACAAGTCTCAACATCTCTCCATGGCCATCTTTCTCTTTATAAACATGCATTCCTAACAGTTAGCATGCTTAGGTGCTTTTATGTTTCATTTATAAATTCAAACAGCATCATGTTATGTTTACGGTGATACCTACTGGATATTTGTCCTGTAGAGAAAGTGATCTGCATATGAAATGCACTTGAAAATGGCTAAGCAATTAGTTAAAATGAAGCAGGCAAAAGCTTGTTTAAATACACTTGTGAATTTACATATAAATGGCCATGGCTGGTATTGAAACAGATTTCAGTTCAAAGTGCTCCAAAGTCTTTGCCCTTTCCTTCAGAAAATCCTTTGCATAATGCTTTTCTAATTTTATTTCTCCCTCATTATAATCTATAAAAATGTACTAAATATCTGAAAAGTAAATAGCTATTGTAAAAAGTAACCTATTGTTCTTCCTAGAAAACAATCTTTAAAATATGAGAACTCAAGGGTGAAGGTCCCCAAACCGTGGATATTGCTGATGATAGATGAGCCCTTTACCTAAAGAAAGATTCTGCGTCATCATAAAGTCTTGGTGTTAGCTTGAGAGAAGGGTAATCAGTAGCCAGTGGCTTCACATTAAACAAGGCCATTGCCAGTGCAACAAAGAGGACAGGCAGCAGCACATTTAACAGGGTTCCTCTCCAGTCTCTCCTAGTGTGGTGAAACCTCTTAATCAGAAGGGCAACAATCTGTGCAAGAAAAAGACGGGCTCCATGCACACTCAGGGCCCCTGTGAGAAATGAGACAGGCAAAAAAATCACAACCACAACAAACAAGACAAAATTGACAAACAAGAAAAATAATTTTAATTTGATATATTTCAAATGTAGAACATAATAGTCTTTGGGAGGGAGGGAGGGAGAGAAGGAAGGAGGGAGGGAGGGAGGGAGGGAGGGAGGGAGGGAGGGAGGGAGGGAGGGAGGGAGGAAGGAAGGAAGGAAGGAAGGAAGGAAGGAAGGAAGGAAGGAAGGAAGGAAGGAAGGAAGGAAGGAAGGAAGGAAGGAAGGAAGGAAGGAAGGAAGGAAGGAAGGAAGGAAGGAAGGAAGGAAGGAAGGAAGGAAGGAAGGAAGGAAGGAAGGAAGGAAGGAAGGAAGGAAGGAAGGAAGGAAGGAAGGAAGGAAGGAAGGAAGGAAGGAAGGAAGGAAGGAAGGAAGGAAGGAAGGAAGGAAGGAAGGAAGGAAGGAAGGGAAAACAGACAAAAAATACCGTATTTTATGATCCCTTGGGATTCTCTTACTACCTCCCCTTCTGTCTAGGACTAGATAACAATCTTAGCAAAAAAAGGTTTTTTTTAAGCAAACTTCTTATGAAGTAATAAGGTCTTTGAATTATTATGGCAAGACTTCAAATAGTTGACTCAGTACAGAAATTGAGACAGTTGAAAGCAGAGCAATCTTCAAGGTGTGAGTGTTTTTAGAATAAAAGAGTTCCTTTAGGGGCTTCCAGATGAACATCACTGAAATTGTAAAATATACTATCTCTCACTCATTAAAGCTGTGAAATGCCAGAAAAGGAGCATGGAATGAAGTATTTGCTGTAGTCTTAGACCTGTTAATAGATTATAAGCAAGAAATGTGAGTGAAAGATGTTTCAAAATATTTGACCCTTTGAATCTCTGAAAGAGGACTATGACACCTACTTTCTTGGGACAGAAGGAAATCAAAGCTGTCATTCATTCTTTTGTCTTAGCAAATAGAGAGAAATGATAAAAAATTCATTCAGGTTGCAGTAAGAAGAGAAAATGTCATCCTGAGTAAAAATAATTTTCCATTTTAACCAATATCCTGAGTCTTATTCAATGTTTCTAGTGCTGGCCAGCCGAGATACATCACAGGAAGATACAATAAACCATTATAATAAAAGCATGTGTTTGCTGTAGGCATCACTTCTTTTAATTATTTTTTTTCTGAAACCCAATATGGTTATTATTTAAAATTCTCATTGACAAAGGTGTCAAACGTCCTTCTGAATCACCTTAAATTTTACTCTTTCTGACCTTGAATTTTGTCATTCCATTGTGTTTCAAGTAAAAACAACAACAAAAAAAATCTTGTTCATCTGTTTTGAATTTATTCTTTTTGGTGGTACTGGATATGTTCTTAAATCTTGATTTAGGAGGCAGTTTATAGAAGTTTCCAAGCTATCATCTGTATAAATAATCTCAACCTTTCAGTCTCCTCTCATAAAAAACTTTATAGTCCAAACCAGCCTCACCACTTGCTTCAAGTCCTCTTATATCACCCACAGTATCCGATTCAAGATATATTGTGTTCAACATGACTGTCTGTCAGATGTGGAAACACTGCAGATTTATACAATAGCATTATGCATTCTTGTACTGATCTGCTTGTCTTTTTTATGCATCATGCCACTTTGTCTGACTGCAGCCACACTATGAAAAACAGCCTGCATTGGACTTTCCATAATTGACTCAATATGGCTTTCAAGATTCCCAAGGTATTAAATCACCCTCCTCCCACCCCCAAAAAAAAACTATTAAATACTATTCCTGTGTACACTTTTCATTTAACCCTTCATGTTTCTGAATCCCACATGCATAGTCTAATTTAATTTTAACTAGAAACTACAGAATTTAGTTTTCCTTCATAAAGTTTCTAATTCATTACACCTACATTTGGTATGTATGTCAGGAGGCATAAAAGATGCATATATTTATGGCAAAAGAGTTCCTGATTACCACTGATAATCATAAAGGCTAGAAGACAAGACCAGATGACCTCTCTGTTATGAAGTCAATTTTTATGCAGAAAGCTTATGGAAATATTCTCATTAATAATTTAGATCACAAAATTAAAAATCTGACCCAACTGTTAGAAGCTGTCTTGCTTAACTTACGATTGCAATTATCCACAAGAAGTGCAATTATGTTCACAATTAAGTTGTACTTCCCAATTCATCCACTCTCCTTTGTACTATGGAAAAGATTTTTGCCACTTTCCAATTCGTGCAGTTAAGATCAGGTACAGGAAAACAGAGCATAAGTTCTAAAATCTGGAAACCAATATTCTGAAAATCCTTACCTACTGACTACTATAGAATTAGGAGCAAAACCAAATACTGTAAGAGTTTAACTGGAGATTAGATGGTCCTTTTTTCCCCTTTTTGAGGTTCAAGAAAATAATATAATTCTAACTTTTTTTTCATAGCACAATAAAATAAGGAAAAATGACCTATGCAATTGCTATGTTAACATCCAGGAGTAGACATTTCCAATTCTACTTCTGTAATTTTCACATTCTGAGGAGGTCCAGAATTTGGGAAGATAATTCTAGACCTGAAATACCCTGGCAGAACAGTTCAGCTTGCTCACATGAAAATGTTTGCATTTGGAAGCAATATATATTGACTAGCTTATTAGAAGTTCTGTGTCAAAGTAGTTCTAGGCTGAGCTGGTGACCTGACATCATTCTGCATTTAATCACATGCCATACTGGCATAAGGCCAGTGCTAGCCAGCCAATCTGTGCACAACATTCCATTGGGAGGTATATAAATTTCCTTCATTTTGTTACATATTTGTTTACTCATTATAAAATTAAGTAAGTATAATATTTATTTTGTTTTCAGGAGGATTTTTAGGACTGATTTTCATGTAGGGCCTTTGAATAAAAGTCATTTTGTGTGAGGTATAAAGGGAATGCCTCTAGTCTATATTTCATACTATGATTAATTCTTGCTTATATGGAATAAGGTCATGAGCTGTCTCCATACAGGTCAGAAAAATCTGTATTTTGGGGTTGTTTTGGTTTTTTGGTTGGTCTTTAGGTGGTGGTTTTTTTTTTCACAAAACACTATGACGTAACCTGAAAAATGTTTTGTACAACATAAAACATATGTCAATTTATTAACAAATAAATGAGCTGCAACCTTTCTGTTGTTGCTGGGAGAGAAGGAACAGCTCAAATGATTAATTTCCAGTCATGCTTTCATATGAAATACAACTGATACAAACGCTAAGCACCAATCTAAAATACTCCACTTACACACTGATGCACCTTAACCCTACCTTCTGCAGGAGAGCTTTGGAGTGACTAGCTAGCAAACTAAGAAATAATTAAAAACAGGACTAATTTGTGTTATAGTGAATAATCCAACTGAATAGAATACATTATAATTATCAAAATAACAAACTGAATAGTATACAAGATCTAGGTCCTCAACAGCCCATTAAATGCAGCAAATGACTACCCCAAAAAGATTTGTTCCTAGCTCCTAACACCTCCAACTTTTGTACAAGTTATTAAGTGAACCTGAGCAGAGCCCATCTGAATCTACCTGTTCCTAGAAGAGTCCAGCAACAGAGTATGATGCTACAAAGATCTACAAAATACTCAGAACAGGACATTTTTAAAGGAAGCAAGAATCCAACTCAAGGAGTCTACTAATTTTTTTCCAGCCATACCATAGCCTCACTTGCATTACAAATATCACCCTTTAATTTCAAAACCTTGCACTTTTTTTCAAAGTTAGAACATACTATTGTCTGTATTAAACAAACAGGTGAGCACCATTGAATGCAAGCAAAATATTTCTTAGCAATTATACTAATTAGATAGAAACTAAAAAAATAGATCCCCATTTTCCTTATTTTATTTCTTCACAAACATCTGTGTCTATTTATAGTAGACATTATAACTCTATCATATGAAACATTAATTTACCTGTAATGCCCATACAAGATACAAAGAAGATAAGCCAGCCTCCTGAATTCACATAACTAATACTGAAATACACATAGCATTTCCTGACTCTTTTAACCTTCTATTTAATGCAAGAATACCCAGTCTCATACCACTGCAAAAATCCATTAAGCTTTTTTATCACTCATATCAAAATAACAGAAAATCCTCTAAAAGTAAAAATACCACACCATGCACCAGCACCTCATGTATGGTAATAGATAAGAATTTTAGAACAGATGTGCATCACAGCCACTCTGTATTTTAAAGGAAGATCTGGGTAGTGAAAGAGTCCAAATGGCATTTAGCAAATAAATACGGTAGTTAGAAAGTCAGTGAACTGAGACTTGTGCTTTTAATTTATGGATATGATTTATAATCTTACCTTCCCAAACCTATTTGTCAGTTTTATCTACTCATTGCATTCAGCCTTAAAATGACTGCAAGCTGCCAAAGGTTCTGAGAAACTGTTTTTTCTTTATCCTTACTATTAGCCCACAGGGTGTTGAGACAGGGCTTGTCTTTAGGTTATGTTTCCAAGATACTGCTGCTAGTATAATAAACAATAATAGCCACCACAACAGCTAGGAAAAATAACACCCTAGTTGCCACTGAAGTGTTAGCTGATATCAAAAAAACACTTGTTGTTCTTACTAGTATGAAAATGAGCAGACATGCAGCCAAACAGAAACTTGACTGATTATATATATATTTTGTTTGCAACACTTTTAGGGAATGGTACAAGCACTTCCTCTGGGTATAAAAACACTGTTATAATTTTCAATGGAAGGAAATAATTTTCTAGTACAAAATTGTGAGTTTTCTTCCCTCCTCCAGTAAGAAGCACACAAATAGAGTACAAATATAAAGAAATGGGAAACAGTGGTGCTGCCTTCCTATCCATTACCCTACAGACATCAAAGAGAACCAAAAAGGCCTGTTACAATGACAGACAACCTGATTTGATGAACACCCATCCAAATTAGTCTGCCTAAACTAGTCTGGTCCTGATGAAAGAGGAGAACACATTG